TTATTGCTGTTTTTAAATTTTCCTAGTGTATGTGAGATGTTGTCTATTACTACTATTAGTGTTTCTCAACCTGTGTTTGGTGGATAGCAAAGCAGTGCCATAAATTTGTTGCAAATTGTAGTTTGAAAGAATTATTGAAATTATAACAAAAGTTGTAATTTCATATCGACTAAGATCAGTTCCAATTTGTTGAGCTGTTACAAATTACATTCCATGTATAAACAAATAAAATCTATTGTGTTTTTGAGATACCGTCATAGAGTTAAAAAACAAAAATAATTTGAGAAATGTAAAATTAATTTGCTCATTGTTTATGTTTTGAAATGAGTGTATTTGATAATCTGTTCTAATGCACTTAAATCTAATGAAGTGTGATAAGTTTGTTATTTAAGCTTAAATTTAAATACTCTGGGGCTTGACTTTTTTATTGTATTGATTACATTTTAAAATATGTGAAAGACGGCCCAAAAGATTCTTAATTTTAATTTCATTCAGTAGAATTAAAATCCATTTCTTACACACTATACTCTTCATTGATCAATCTTCAACTTCACTGACAGTTTTGATGAATGACTAATCATCTGAATGGAGTTTCAGATTAGTTTACTGATATTATAAAATCACCACTAGAACTATTTCTACATTTTTACTTTGTTTATTAATTTTACTAGATGTTGCACACCATTTATTGTTAATGACATGAAGCAAAAATAACAATAAATGGTGTGCAACATCTAGTAAAATTAATAAACAAAGTAAAAATGTAGAAATAGTTCTAGTGGTGATTTTATAATATAAGCGATTTTTCAATGACATGAAGCAAAAATGTGGTTTTCAGGATTGTTATCAACCATAACAAGTTGTTAATGTTGCCTGAGAATAAAGTATTTCTTGTTATGTTTTCTTACTGAGCAAGAACATGACTTCATTTAAAGAGCCATTTCTAGAGCCATGTTGAATGCCAAAGAAATGTTGCAATGTCATACTGTTATAATGCAATACAAATGTTGTAATGTCATGGCTAGGCAATCATTTGATGACATGAATGTAACTCCTTCATTATTTTCATCACACACACATGCTTTATTTTAAATGTAGTCTGCAAAACTTAAGTGGATAATGATCTTTTAAAAAAATGTGATAAATTTCTTTGAAAATTTCATTCCTTGAAATGGAGATTATTAAAATTGATCACCTAAGTCAGTGTTGAATTGTTTTTCATATAAATGTGTGCTTTATGGTCAAGGTTTTTTTTAATTAATATTTTTGTGTGTATGGAATTGGAAAAAATATCTTTTAACAATTAAAATGAAAGCTTTAAAAATGATGTGCTATTTGACAGTACTTTGAATAGGCTTATTTAGAGGTCATCTTCTTTTGTGCTAACAAGCATTAATCAACAATCAATTTCATGCTCTTCCTCTTCCAAATTCATATTTATGTGTATTGTGAAAGTCATAAAGTTAAAGCAGAAAATCTTGCCATTAGTTTACTTACAGAGTAACTGTCTAATAAATTATTGGAAATTGTTTTGTTTTTTTTGCAATAGCCTGGAAATGAAAGGGATTTGGAAAGGAATAGACTGATTACTACTTTATAACAGAGTAAAGAAAGGATATTTCCGTTTCTGCATTCACTCTATCTTACCCACTAGTCTGACTTAAAAAACATTTTGTAGGTGGCACTCATTATTTGGTTCCTGTTGTATTTTATAACTATAGCGATAGCAAAGCCTACATATTTTACACAGCGGAACTTGGTATGTATATGTATTTAACCTTCTTCAGAAAACATATTTCATGGGGAGCAAAGAGAGCATGTACATTTTTATGTGGATGACTATACCTTTAAATACAGAACCACAACCATCAGGAACTTTATATAGTCAACCTGTCATATGCGGACGACATAGTGCAACTGGGCAGAAAATGCAAAGATATGACTAAAGCATTCAGGGAACTTGAGGATGCCTCAGTTTAATAAAGCTGGTCTGGAGGTAAAAGAAGCAAGTACAAAGTAAATGGTAATGTAGTGAAGTACACATACTTGGGATAAAATCAAAATAAGCAACCACACCTTTGAGTTTGAAAGAGTGGCAACTTTCATATATCTAGGAGCTACTTTATGAGCACAATGAAATAATGTCAAAGGTTAACAGCAGAAACCTGTTATTTCAGACCATAAAAACTACTAGCAAGCAAAATACTCTCAAGGAGAACAAAGATGGCAATATACACTACTATTATAAGACTAGTTTTAAACGCAGGAGAGACTCTGTCCTTTATTAGAGAAGCAGAGAATTTTGCTCAAGACATGGGCAAATAGAATCCTCAAGGAAATCTACTGTCTGGTGATAGACAATGATGGATGAAAAATCCAAGAGATATATCCTTTGTATGAAGACCCACCCATAGTCGCAACAATTAAGGCAGACTGCGAAGGACAGGGCAACTAGAGAGGATCGTAGCGCAGCAAAATGATCAACATGCAGAAACCTAGCGGCAGATGACTTACTGGTCGACCACGACTGAAATGCTTTGACAGTGTAGAGATGGACTTAATACTGCACCTGGGGGTCTGCGCAAGGAGGAAAGTCATGGATCAATCCGACTGTAAGGATGTAAATGTAGTGGAGCAGGCCATGGCCCTACATGGGATGCATCGCTACCAGTGATTATTTCAGAAATTTCCCCCCCGGGGAGGGGGGCACTTCAGACTTTCCGGGGAGGTATGTATATGTATTTAACCTTCTTCAGAAAACATATTTCATGGGGAGCAAAGAGAGCATGTACATTTTTATGTGGATGACTATACCTTTAAATACAGAACCACAACCATCAGGAACTTTATATAGCCAACCTGTCATATGCGGACGACATAGTGCAACTGGGCAGAAAATGCAAAGATATGACTAAAGCATTCAGGGAACTTGAGGATGCCTCAGTTTAAAGCTGGTCTGGAGGTAAAAGAAGCAAGTACAAAGTAAATAGTAATGTAGTGAAGCACACATACTTGGGACAAAATCAAAATAAGCAACCACACCTTTGAGAAAGTGGCAACTTTCATATATCTAGGAGCTACTTTATAAGCACAATGAAATAATGTCAAAGGTTAACAGCAGAAACCTGTTATTTCAGACCATAAAAACTACTAGCAAGCAAAATACTCTCAAGAAGAACAAAGATGGCAATATACACTACTATTATAAGACTAGTTATAAACGCAAGTGAAACTCTGTCCTTTAGGGGCCGTCCATAAAGTACGTCACACTATTTTTGACCATTTTTACCTCCCCACCCCTCTGCCACATATAAGACTAGTTATAAACGCAAGTGAAACTCTGTCCTTTAGGGGCCGTCCATAAAGTACGTCACACTATTTTTGACCATTTTTACCCCCCCCCCCCCCCGCCCCCCGCACACCCAAATCCCCGACCCCCCCCCCCCCCCCCCCCCCCCCCCCCCAAAGTACGTCATTCTTTCGAACAAATTTTAAAAAAAAATTAACACCTAATTAAAATTAAATCTAAAACACACTGCACTGTTAAACTGTATCAAATCAAAATATAAAATTTCCAATTAATTTCCACTATCACATTATTAAAATGACTTTTTGTAGAATAGTTAATTGTCATCAGTTGTCACAGTTATTCATTGAAGCAGTAAGTCAATCTAGATTGAATTTGAAAACAAAAATTGCACAAATTAGACTAGGCAATTAGCCTATATAATACACATCATTTATCTGCTGCTTTTTCATTTACAATAGGTGAGGTCAAGTTTTAGATGATCTTCCGATTATGCAATCTTTTTACACAGGTTAAGAAGTATATTAGAGAAACTTGACCTCACCAAATGATTAAATAATGAAAAGGACAGTGACATAATTATGCAGCGGACAACATAACAATAATAATACTTCAGGAAAGAGGAAAGCAAGGCTATCCATAAAACAAGGCTTTGCAACAGAATACTAGCGCTCCTAGCGAGAGGAATCGTGAACAACACATTCAGGAGATACGCATTTCATGCTATTTTGACATAAACTAATTCAAATGATACACAATTGAACATTATTTTTAAAGCTATTAAATTCCACTAAAAAAATATTAATTAGAAATAAAATGTAAAAAAAAAAAAAAAAATTAAATTTGTGTGTCACACAGGGCTGACCCCCCTCCCCTCTGTCACAAACTGTCACACTTTCTTCCACCCCCCCCCCCCCCCCCCTCTGGAGCGTGACGTACTTTATGGACGGCACCTTATTAGAGAAGCGGATAATTTTGCTCAAGACATAGGAACATAGGAAAAGAAAATCCTCAAGAAAATCTACTGTCTGGGGATAGACAATGATGGATGAAAAATCCAAGAGATATATCATTTATATGAAGACCCACCCATAGTCGCAACAATTAAGGCATACTGCGAAGGACAGGGGAACTAGAGAGGATCGTAGAGCAGCAAAATGATCAATATGCAGTTACCTAGCGGCAGATGGCTTACCGGTCGACCACGACTGAAATGTTTTGACGATGTAGAGAAAGACTAAGTACTGCACCTGGGGGTCTGCGGAAGGAGGAAAGTCATGGATCAATCCGATTGTAAGGATGTAATCCGAATGTAAGGATGTAAATGTAGTGGACCCATTACCCGCTTAAAAATTGGAAAGCGAAAATTAGATACTGATACGATTTTCTTTAAAACTACGGACATCGACATCGAGATTTCCCCATTTTTCACAGAAGCTTTTCAGGGGCGAGGACAATTTGGGGGGGCGGGGGAGAGAGAGAGCTAATATTTAAGATTAAAACAATATATTTATTTAAAACATTGTATTGTAAAAATTTCTTGAACGTTCATCTCACGTGTGACAGAAAGAGAGTGGGGACCATTTTTATATGGATAACAATATCTCAAAACCTAATAATTTTACACATGAAAATTCAATCTTTAAAAATAGACCACAATTTTTTCCATTGCCCGAAAATACATTCCAGGGACGTTTGCAACGAAAGGTTATAATATTATAGAATATTTGTTTTTCCGCATTGAGCAACATAAATTTCATGGAAAAGTGATGGTAAATTTGTATGAGATTAATTATATATTTCTTTAAAAAACCCACTAGACTTAAAAACGTGAGAATTGGTTAAGAAGTTTTTTTACCCCCTCCCCACAGGCCACAGTCACAAAAATGTCAAAAAAGTTAGACCCCCTGCCCTCTCAAATATATAATATATCGTCAAGGTAAATGTCGAGGACGAATGCCACTATTTTATCCATGGCCGCGACTAATGCCCTAAATCGATCCCTAAGCCTAACCTGATGAAGCCTAAATCGATCCCTATGCCGCTGAACCCTAAATCGATCCCTATGCCTAACCTAAACCCTAATTCACTGCAACTAAATAAACAAGCAAATGACGCCGTGACATTCGTGCTCTACATTAGCAACGTCAAATATCTGCCCCACCACCTATTTAAAAAAAAATCCCTCTTTCCACTACTACCATGGGCACCCGCAGGGGGGGGGGGGGGGGGGGAAGGGGGGCCCCTGCCCCCCCCCCCCCTGGATTGATTGGATAAAAAAATTTTAGACAAAAATAGCCAAAAAATTTATTAAAGTAAAGAGAAAATAAAGAGAAGGTAACTAATAAGCTGATGTCCTGTCCGTTCGTTCACCATTCAAATGCTGCTACAGTAAATTAAAACTACATTAAAATATTAATAAAAAAAATTTGCCCCCCCCCCCACTCTAGAAAGTTAATCGATTTTTTTGACCCACCCCTAGAAAGTTTTCTGCGGGCGCCCATGGACAATAAACCTAATGTTTTGAAATTTAGACGAGATGCAGCGCTGCAAGAAGGTTAAAAATCTCTGCCACATAAAATTTATAAAGAACCCAGTTGGCCAATTATCTATTTTTCGTTCCATCTCACTTCACATGGTGGTAGCCCTAATTCTATGACTCCTATCTCCACATTATGACATAAATTCTTACAATTTTCAAACTCACTAAACTCTGATTCTCCTCCGTGGCGGCCTGTAACTTGATTGATGCCATTTTTCAAACCTTGCATAACTTGTAGCATAAAAGAATAATGTTAAAAATGTCTAATTTAGTATTTTTAAATGCACATTTTTTCAAGAATGTTCAGCTTTTAATGTGACTTCACATTGCAACCCCTTCCTCCTCCTTCCCCCCTCCCCCCCTTCATACATCATCACAAAAAATGTGACCCCCTCACCGCCGTTGATATTTACATCATTTATGGATGGCCCAAATATCCATTAATGTTACAGATGTTTTAACTGGTAAATATATGTTGTGTTTTTTTTTTAATGAAGGGCATATATGTTTTTACTATTTTTAAAAACATACGTTTTGTTTACAGTTCAGGGGCCTGAAAAGAGTTGGATAGGCCTTTACTGTATAGAATATAATAATTTCTCAAAACCAAAGGGTTTTAGAAACGTAAACATCTATACATAGACACTTCTTTCAAAATAAGGAAAGTCTGATTTACTGTTTCCTAACTATACATTTCAAGGGTGTGGAAAATATTATTTTTTTTAAAGGATAAAATAGATCAAAACTTGATTCACTTACATACTTTCCTATAGCAGGTAGAATGTAGCACAATATATGCCTTCAATTATTACCCCAGTAACACTGGGTCATATTTGCTAGTTATTTTATAATAAATGTTTAAGTTTAATTGTTTATGAATCTTTTATTGTTACTAAATGTTACTCAAAGCCCCTTCATTAACTTTTTTTTTTACAGCACAGAAGACTTACTTTAATATGCTCTAACTAATGTGTTGATTCAATGTTCGAAAGCCAGTTAGCATCATCAATTGTTGGGAAACAAACTTCCTTTTTAACTTACTGAAAGACGTCATATTTAACTCATCTAATTATTAAACATCAACTAAATTAATCATACCATTAACAAAATTTTTGGAGGGTAATTTTCATGGCCTATTTTTCTCTCATGACATGGATCAGAAATCGAGGGTGCCAAAAGCTTCAGCACAAAACTGGATTTGAGGTTTGGATCAGGGGCTCAGTGAGCCACTCCCAAGATAAATTAAAAAAGCAGTGGTGCAATTTTGGCATATACAGAAGATATGCTAATGGAAATTTAGGTTCCCTTGACTTGGTTCTGTTTATACCAGTGGTTCTCAACCTTCCTAATGCCACGACCCTTTAATATTGTTCCTCATGTTGTGGCGACCCCCCGCCACAAAACTATTTTCTTTGCTACGTAATAACTGTAGAGCATATGTGTTTCCAGATGGTCTTTGGCGACCCCTGGGAAAGGGGTTGCGACCCACAGGTTGAGAACCGCTGGTTATACAAATCCTTTATTTTTAGTTGTTTATAAACAATTATGTTGTTTTATCAATTTTAATTCAAACTATTTATTTGTTTAAAATACTTCATTAATAAATAAATAAAAAATTTAAAAATACATTTAAAATAATTGTTAGTCACAAAAAATTACTACTAACATCATTATATGCCCTATGTTGAATGACAAAGAAATAGAACTATAAGTATAATAATAAATAGAACTATAAGTATAATAGTAAATAGAACTATAAGTATAATAATTAACTTTTTGCACTTATTTAAAATTTAAATATTTTTACTGATAGAAAAAATAGAGCAAATACTGTTAGGCTGAAAAGGTCTTTAGATTTCTGTGGCTTTTTAAAAATAGGATAGGATTATAATATATATTTACAAAAGGTGTAATTTGTTCAATAATACATGATTTATCTGAGTATTTTCTGAGTGAAATTGAAGCAGTAATAATTTCCCAAAATTCAGTAAATTGAAAGGTTAATATGGAATTTCAACCTACAATAACTTTCTTCAGATAAATTACTAAGTAATTAACATGTGACTACTATTTTTGACTCTTAGATTAAACCTGTTTCAACCCCCCCCCCCCCCCCCCCCCCCCCCCACCCCAATCCCAGGATGTTATTTTTAAATTGACAAATTTTTCTCAAACTAGTACCTAATGAAAATGGAATGGATGTCAAATTTGCAAAACTTGTTTACAAAACTTCAGAAACCTGCTCCTTATTGTACTTTGAAAGATCTTTTAATATCCATTTACAATATTGGCAACTTGGTGTCCCTTAGAAGCATGAGCTTCCTACAAGTATGAGGCGGCACTACCTTGACAATGATTTTATTATAAAAGATCCACTATGAATTAAAATCTAAGAACGTCTTATAAAACAGTAAATATACAAATCCAGAAAGACAATTATTATTAATTAATATTTGACATCACTCAATGAAATAAAACTTTAAATTCAGATCAGATAAAAGTGGACTTATGAACTTCAAATTTTTAATTGAATTACAAAGAGAATTGTAGACTGCCAGTACTAAAGTACTAAGGAAATGTACTTTTGGCTTATTACAGTAAGAAAGACTTACTTTATTTTAAGCAAAATTAAGATAAGATAAGATAGGACTCTTTTATTGATCCCAATAAATGGAAATGTTTTTTTTATTGCATTATACATCTTCAGCACATATATAAAACAATTTGAAGACAAGGCATTTATAATAAATTATCTCAAACAGCCATTCAGTGAGTTCTCTTAACCAAATCGGGGACTTATTAGTTCTCAGAGGGAGCACGCCGGTAAATTTTTACAGATTGGGGAACAAAAGAATTTTTATATCTTTCAGTCCTTGCCTTGATTGAAAGAATTCTTCCCGAACGGCCTGATCCTAAGTATTTGTGATGAAGAGGGTGGGATGTATCATCCAAAATGTGTTTAGTTTTACAAAAACATCTTTCTTCAAATAGTTCTGCAAGTGAAGGATATCTAGTTTGTTATGTTCCTAGCTTTCTTGATTAGTCGGTTTATGCGGTGTTTAATATCAGATGTCGAATTCCCACACCAGGAGGTGTTACTGAAATTAAGTAGGCTTCCAATTGTTGCACTGTAGAATAAGTTAACGACTTGCCTGTTTACCCCGAAATTGTACAGCTTTTTGAGATAGAACAGTATTTAGTTGAATTTCTTATACAGCATTTGGCCATGCTCATGCCATGTTAGCTTATTATTAATGGTGACACATAATACTTGTATGCCTCCACTTTCTCTACACTTTGATTTTTTTATGTTGAGATCTGTAATCTGGTGTTTCCCCCTCCTGAAATCAGCAATCATTTCCTTTGTTTTTGAGACATTCAGCTGGAGAAAATTTTCATCGCACCAATTGATAAAGCTTGTAACTAAATTGCGGTATAGGCCTTCTCCTTCAGATATTAAGCCAAGAATGGTGTTATTATCAGCAAATTTCAAGATTTGAATGGTGTCGCTTGAGCTTTGAATATCATTGGTATATATGGTATACAGTACAGGAGAGAGAATGCAGCCTTGTGGTGCCCTTGTGCTTATTTCTCTGGTTAGAGATAATTGATATTTACTTTGACATATTGTGGTCGATTTGTTAAAAAGTTCAGTATCCAAGCATGAATATTTAAATTGACACCTAACGAGGATAGTTTCTTTATCATAAGGTGTGGTTAGATAGTGTTAAATGATCCAAATATTACTTACTAATCCAAATATTAATTTCTCTACTATTACTCTCTGGGTAGAAATGAGAATAACAAATACAATGCATAAGACATAGGTAAACAATTAAAATCACATCAAATTATTAATAATCAATGATACTCTAACAGTGACTATAGTCCTAACATTTTCTTAATAAACTACAACTACACTTCTACATACCCGTACACATGAATATGAAAGTTAACAACACTAACCCAACACAATCAGGATAAACACGCTTCATCAACTAATTATGCCAGCCAGGCATTGTTTTAAGCTGGGTGCCGGTCAAGGTTAACAGGCTAAATTCCATTGTTATTTGAGAAATTGTAATTATTTTAAGGCCCAGCCTAATTGTGTCATATCGCGTGGGGTAGCGATGGAGAGAGAGTGTGAGCCAGCGGGTCTCACAAAGGTGAGGACCAGCGGGTCTCAACACTAGGTGATGATAAAGTCTTTCCAACAATAGTAAGATTGCATCCTTTGTGCTTCTGGCAGGTTTGTAAGCAAATTGGTGGGAGTCAAGTTTTTGCTGTACTTCATTCAAAATTTCTTTCAGAATTATTTTCTCAAAACATTTCATTACCATAGAGGTAAGTCGTTGTTACACATTACCTTATTTTTCTTTGGAATTGGTATGATTTCAGGCTTGTAAAAGTTATTAAAATAAATTCACTCAATATAGTTTTTTAAAGAACAAGAGAATAACAACGTACACATGGCAAAAATACTAGGTAGCACAGGCTTTGCATTGCTACTAACTCATACTACATATGTTGGTATCTAGGGGTGTGCCGGAATCCGGTTCCGCCGGATTTTGCACTAACCGGTGAAATCCGGTTCTGCCGGATTTACATGTATCCGGAACAACCGGAATCCGGAATATACCGGATTTCGGAATTTGTCAGATTTTGTGACTCACCGGATCATAATCTGAAATAAAAGTAATTCTCTTTCCCGAATTCCACACGATCACGATACATTAATCGATTGTTTCGAGGGTTGAGCTTGTTTAATGTTTAATATTCCGAACATATCAGAGGCTAGAGTCAGCACCGCTAATAGTGGCCAATAATCCGGAATCCGGGAGAAACCAGAATCCGGATTATTCCGGAATCCGGATCCGGCGGATTTCGCATAAGAAAATCCGGATCCGGTTGGAAAAAACGGATCCGGCACACCCCTATTGGTATCCCATGGATCTCCATACATAAGATAGTATTTCCCTTACAAAAAAAGAAAAAGGTTGAGAAGCTCTGATACAGTCATCTTTATTATTTATCTGCTGTAATATTAGTTGGTGTCTACTAAAGCTGTCTGCAACTTAAAAAGGAAACACTGAATGCATCCTTGGTGTGTCTTAAGGGAGTTAATACACCAGGGGACCTAATAAAATCTTTTTAAAAGTAAAAGTATTCTGTAGAAATTATTTTAAAATATCTTTTATTGTATTCACTACTTAGAAAAAGCACATTTGTTTTCTTGTTTCTCTTAACATAATTTTCTTCTGTCTCAAAATTACCTTCTAATTACCCAAGTTATCTCACCAATTCATCCATCCTTCAACCATCACCAAACTTGTGTCAATTTCTAAAATTAATTTAAAAATTCACCTTGAACAATCATAAATTTATAATTTGTAAGAGTGAGCAGTTTATTTTTATTTTGTTTGTAAGTCCATTTTATTGTTTGTCATGGCTTCAGTATATTATATAGAGTATGAAAGCTGAGTCGGTCACCAATAGGCTTCCATGAGACCTTATGGGTACAATCGTAAGCTGGCTTGCATGCTGGCTTAAGACAAATTATTATTAAGAAGACATTTAAACAGATACTTTGTACATATAAAAAAAAAAACAATATATATTGTACTCTCCAGATAATGCTTTTCCACCTGTTGGCACTTTGTGTGTTGGCTAGTCCTCTGGCACAGGGACTTGACAATGGACTAGCCCTGACTCCACCAATGGGCTGGCTTTCATGGGAGCGTTTCCGCTGCAATGTTGATTGCACTAATGACCCTGATAACTGCATAAGGTACAAGTTGCTTCATCAGGAGCATGGATTTCCTTCATTATTCATTGATATTAAATCCTCTTTCCTTCCCTAACATTTTCATCATGTTCTTTGGACTTCACAAAAGTTTCTATTTATATTTTAAAGTAATTTTGGTAGAATTTTTTATTAATTTGTTGTATGGCTAATCGTAATTCTCCTGTATGTCTTCAGTGAACGTCTGTACATGAAGATGGCTGATCTGATGGTATCAGAAGGTTTTAGAGATGCAGGTTATGAATATGTCAATATTGATGATTGCTGGCCTGCCCTAGAAAGAGACAGTGATGGAAGACTTGTTGCAGATCCAGTAAGGTTTCCAAGTGGGATAAAGGCACTGGCTCAATATGTAAGTGAACATTGACTCAAGGAATATCTGCATACTCATATACCATACCAAAAGCCATCTTCTCTTTTAATATCTGACATACATCTTCAAATTTAAAATAATGTAATATCACCATTAAATTCTAATATCTTACCCCCGATTATGAAAGGAGAGAATATCTTCTATGTAATCTGATTTTGTTTATACAGCTTCATGGCATTGGTAGGATATTTTCCAAGTAAACTAAGACTGTCTTAGTCTATCATGGACTAACCCACATGCTTACCTGGACATGGACCAAGAAACAATGTAAAAGAGAAACCTGCTTCTTCTTCTTCTATATATTAAGGGCCCACGATCAATTTATTGATCATTTTGGCTCCTATGCATGTAGATGGGATTTGCAATGTTTCTGTTACTGGTGTTGATGAGGAAATCATGCACTAGGGGTTTGAAGGCTTGAGACAATAGACACAAATGTATCTAGTGTTGTCGCCTCAACCGTTCCTTTTGAAAGATTGTTCCAGTCCCTGATTGTCTTGGGCAGGAATGAGCAGTTTCTATACTGGCTTCTTGCTGGTATGAGCCTGAATTGCCTGTCATGGCCTCGTCGCTGTCTATGGGGGAGAGGGACGAGTTTCTGTTTAATGCTGGAGCAGTGGACCAGCCCATTATTTATCTTGTACATCATGGAGAGCCTGGATTGTCGTCGTCGTTTCTCCAATGGTGACCAGCCTAGAGTTTCCAGCATGCTGCTAACACTAGAGGTATTCCTGTAGTGGTTTAGGACAAAGCGTGCTGCTCATCGCTGGACCGCCTCCAACCTGTCAATGCTCTTCTGGGTAAATGGATCCCAGACTGAAGATGCATAATCTAAAATTGGACGGATAAAGGCTTTATATGCTCTTTCTTTAACACAGGAGTTGCCAATCTTTAGATTTCGCCTTAAGAACCCTAGGGTCTTGTTTGCTTGGTTACATACATTGTTAATATGCTCGTCCCAGCAGACCTCTCTTTGAATGTTAACACCCAGGTACTTTACGGAGGAAACTTGCTCAAGTATATGGCCGTGCAGTTCGTATTGGTAGTGTAGAGGAGTACAACTTCAAGAGATTGATAGTGTCTGACACTTGGCAGGGTGAAATTCCATGTCCCAGCTCATCTCTCACTCAGCTAACAGATTGAGATCCTGTTGTAGCTGGTCCTGGTCAGATCTGTTGGCGATCGTCCTATACACTGCTGTGTCATCTGCGAACAGTCTTGTCTGTCATGTCAGTTTCTCGGGTAGGTCATTAATGTATGCTAGGAACAAACAGGGGCCCAGGACTGATCCCTGGGGGGACCCCTTACTTCACTGACAAAGGAGGAGCTTGTACCGCCCACCACTACTGCTTGGCGTCGGTGGCTGAGGAAGCTAGAGATCCATGTTTTAGTGGTGCCTTGAATCCCATATCTCTGGAGTTTGTGTAGAAGCAAACTATGATTCACACGGTCAAATGCTTTTGCGAAGTCCATTACTAGCACGTCAGTCTGCTTGTGGTTCTCCAGATTGGTCATCAGGTCTTCTACAAATTCGAGAAGCTGGGTCTCACATGATCTATTGACTCGGAAGCCATGTTGACAGTCATTGAGTATATTTTGGCTTTCAAGATGCTTCATGACAGTGCTTACGATTATGTGCTCCAACAGTTTGCAGACGACGCTGGTGAGGGATATCGGACGATAGTTGGCAGGGTCGGAATGCTCCCCTTTCTTGTAAATTGGAGTGACATGCGCTGTTCTCCAGTCTGCTGGAACATTTCCTGTGCATAGTGACGATTGGAAGAGGATTGTCAGTGCAGGAGCGATTTCTTTGGCTAATTCTTTGAGCACTCGTGGTTTGATGTTGTCAGGACCACATGCTTTGTAAGGGTTAATGGTATTGAGGAGGACAAACACACCTTGTTCTGATATCTGGATATCTCCCATGACAGGGTAGGCTCTGTTCATCATTTTGGTCTTCACTGCTAAGGTATGGCACTGTGCATATTCTAACCCTTCTCCTCTCAGGCATTAAACAAATTTTAACCTAGTTGTTTAAAAATGGATATATTTTTGTTTGCAGATCCACTCTAAAGGGCTGAAACTAGGAATCTATGAAGACTTTGGATCTAAAACATGCGCTGGATACCCAGGCAGTGAGTTTTACATGGAAACAGATGCCAAGACCTTTGCTGAATGGGATGTTGACATGCTCAAATTTGATGGCTGCAACTCTGATCCAAAAGATATGCCTTATGGTGAGTTAGCATTTCAAACCTCGGCAACTTACATCCTTGAAAAGTTTTTCATCTTAGTTAATCAGTAATAAATTATGTCCATCAGATCCAATAAATAAGAATTAATGCTCTTAACTTACTGTGTTGAAATACAATAAACTGTAAATGCTATTTAAGACTGTTGTAGCACATGTTAATATTATAAACATCCCAGGTTACCCCACGATGCAGTTCTTCATGAATAAAACGGGCCATCCAATGGTCTTCTCATGTGAATGGCCAGTGTACGAGCTTATTCATCAACTTCCAGTGGTGCGTGACCAGAGTTAGATCTTGAGCCAATATAACAAAATATACTAAATGTTGTCAGTGCTTTTGATGGCTACAGGTTAATTCATGACAGCTTTATCATTTTGTTTACTCACAAAAATTGAAAGCAAACATATTTTCAGGCCTAGAATACAACTGTCTTTCAAGAATTGGAATGCTTTTATATAGAGTTTCACAGCCTGATGTACTACATGTGTTTTTTTTATTGAAGCCAAAGGTATGCATCCATATACAATTTCCAGTGCTGCCTTTCGTTTGGTTTAACCTATGTACTCATACTGCCTCACAGGGTACCCCATCATGGAGCATTTCTTAAACAAGACTGGTCACCCAATTTTGTTTTTGTGTCAGTGGCCAGGTTATTTGGTTGGAGTGGGAATAAAGGTGTGTCCAGCTGTTCAAATGTCTTCATTAGCACTTAACAAAATGGAGTGCAAACAGCCACCATAGTTGCAATCTGCTGTTCTGTTTCTTGTTTCTTAGCCTTTTACTGAAATAGCACATGCGTTGCTAAACTTGTTTTTAATCCTGAGCATGATCAAATATGATATACAAGATCACATGATGATTAGTCATGTTATTGATCTGTAGCTGATAATACACTGACAACATCTGGTGAGTGCACATCTGTTCTAGTTGAAGCATATCATAATAATTAATGTTAATTCAATTTTTAAGTGTATTTAAAATATGGCAGCAGAATTAAAGCATTACATTATTGAAAAATGTTTAGTATAATTTATCCCATTGATCTATTGGAATGTGCCTTTTCAGATTGGTTCCTTTGATAAACCCTTACTATATTATTACCTATTGTTTCTTACAGATATATTATTCTTGTCAAACCATTTCTTTCTCATTAATTCAGCTTTCTTTACAAAGGTAAATTCTTAAGATGCAAAATTCAATGAAATGTCAATTCCAGTTTCTTGAAATTTGTTATTTGTATTAATACTTGGAATTTATGATACCAATGGGGAATTAAGTAAAGATATACAGGTAAGGAATTCTTGGAGAAGTTCCTTTAAGTTCACAATTAATTCATCAGTTCTTTTGGTGGTCCATATGGATCAGTTGATATTGAGGTAAGTTTTAGAATATATTTTCCAATTGATGTTTTTATAAAACGACTGAAATAAAAGAGGTATGTATTTAATAAGTTGCAACATATGTTGCCTTTCTCTTATGACTAATTTGGGTTTGTTGAAAGTAACAAACATGATTTATTCTAGGACATTGCTATATTACAGTAGGAGGAACATTTGTTCCTATTTTCAGCTGAGTGAAATATTTTGAAATATGATCAGCATTTTGTACATGGTAGCTGCTTTGTTCTTGTTTTTAGTCCATTGTTTATCTCAGTCTTGCCAGACTTTCTGCTAGATGTGGGAATTTTTTTACCTAGTCTTTCCTTTAAAAAAATTCAATTAAGTTTTGTACTACTTTAAGTTGGCAACACTGTATTATCTATAAACTCATGTGTAGAAGTAGAAAGAACATGGCATTATTTTAACTTTTTAGAATATTTATTCAGGTTAAAATTCATATTTAAAAAGAAAAGAAAAATTATAACAAAACCATTTTATATTAATCTTAAGCCTGTAAAGGAATTGATTTTATATTTTATGAATTTTTAAACAGATTTACTTTAAGTCTAAATAATTCCAAAATAAAAGTTCCAATAAAATTCCATAAATAGAATTAGAATAATTCCACACAAAAAATAACAATGACAAGAGATCAATAAAGTTGGTTATTTCCCATCTGATACAGCTACACAGCTATCAGAGCCAGCTGTAACCAGTGGAGGAACTATGTAGATGTTCAGGATGGTTGGAATTCAGTGCTAGTTATTGTTGACCATTATGGTCAAAATTAAGGGGTCTTTGCTTCTTTCGCTTGTCCAGGAGGACCAGAATGATCCAGACATGGTTAGTAGATTCTGTGGTATTATTTGTTGTTGCTAATGAGGTAAGTTGTAGTTTGTGTTTTTTGTTGTTATTCAGGTAAGTTGATTTTTATTATGACAAAACTGTTTCGAGGAATACTTGCTCTGAAAGTAGAGATTATCCTCTTAATAATTTTAACATAATATAAAAATGTGGAACAAAGAAGGTAAGCCAGTTTTTAAATTGTGTTGAGGTTTTCTCTTGAGATCTCCACTGATGCCCAAAATAAATGGTAAGTTACATACATGAAAGAATGTGGTTTGGCAAGATTTTGAAATCTAAAGAGAATAGCTAATGAAGCAGACTGTGGCACCTTCTAAAAAATTACCAAGCTGTTTGTGGCATTGTCCTGTATTTACCCATGGCTGGTTTTTTTTTTAGAACCATTTATATTATTCACCATTTTGAAATAGTCAAACTATGGGAAAATTGCCAAGGTGTGCAATCTTTGGAGAAATTTTGATGATGTCACAGATTCTTGGGACAGTGTACTCTCTATAGTTGACTTTTATGGAGCCAATGCTGGTAATTTCAGCTACTACGCTAAGCCAGGTGCATGGAATGATCCAGATATGGTAAGCCTTTGAGATTTTACTAACATTTCAATCCATTTAACTTTTTAATCAGTTCATTTTGTGACTTACCTTTCCCATAATTTTTCCAACCCAATAAAATAATCCATACAAAATCAACCTATTTGTTTCAATTAAAACTCATATACTTGTATGTATTACCAGAGCTCTACTCTTTTGAATAATAGGTAACAACATTACTGCCTTTTTGCCACTTCTACTTATCAGCAGTCTTTGCTTTACAAATTGCCTACATAGACTTGGATTTGAAAATACAAAATTTAAAGATAAATCATGTCATTAATTTCAGTGTAGGAATAACTGTATGTGAATTTTTTAAACTAGCGAAATTTGGCAATGCATGATTGATTTGCACATTTGAAAAAGGGTAATTTCATATAACAGCTTAAAGGTACATTTACGCTACATATTTGTTGCTGAGATTCTCAGATTTCTGTGACCATGTGCTACTCACTGTAATAAATATGTGGCCAAATAGTTAAATTTTCAATATTTTGTTAAGAGTTGCACTATTTTGTAGGCTGACAAAATACAGACACAAATCACATCATAATTTTTTTTTGGCGCATGTGTTGGTACCGCCGACAGATCTGGTTTACAACTGTTAATTTATATGTGTAGTACATAGTAATAGTATCCCTCCTGGTGAGCATATTTGCTAGCTCGAAGATTACAATTTTAAAGATAAATATCAAGTTTATTTTATTAGTGTGGGCCAGTAGAGGTTGGAGGAATAAAGTCATGTTTTAAAAATTGAATTAATTAAAGATTAAAATTTTTTTAAATATTTTTTTTCCCCTCCATCAGTGGTTATATGTAAAATGTTATTTAAAAGAAAAAATAACATCTTATTCAATTAAAGAGCCACATCCAGCAGCAGGTAGCTGACCGTTATGCTAACACATTAATTTAAAATTAATAAATGTAAACTAAAGTTCTTCATCAGCAGCCACAGATGTGACTGTTCAGTGTGAACACCTACGTGGGATAAATGTATCAGTAGATAGGCAACATTGATACACCACTGATATTTGTTTCTGCAACAAATCTGTATTGTGAACATAGATATTTTCATGATACTTAGTACTTAATTTTTTTTTGTTAAGGAATTTTACAAATTATTTTAAAAGATCTCTTTATTTTAAAAAACAACAACATTTAAACCAAAACCATTTGTCCCATTCCCAGCTGGTAGTTGGAGATTTCGGTCTGAGCTACTACCAACAGAAAGCTCAGTTTGCACTGTGGTCTCTTTGGGCAGCACCTCTGATGATGTCAGTGGATTTGAGGAATGTTGATCCCATGGCAAAGCAGATCCTTCAGAATAAAAATGTTATTGCCATCAATCAGGATCCTCTTGGTAACCAGGCTATCAGGCTTTTTGAGGCAAGTCATTGACTTTCAATGTGAAAACTCTCTTTTGTTGCATCTCATCATTTATCACTATAAAAATAATCAGTTAAGATACTGGAATTTCTTAGAAAAACTTGTTTCAACCGTTTGATGTAATGTCTCAGTAATAATTTCTTTCACAGTTTCGGGGCTCAATATCAGTGTGGGTTAAGAAACTTGCCAAGCCTGGATCAGCAGCTATTGGAATTTTGAACAAGGATAACCAAGGCACCCCCACCCCCTACAAGACCTCATTTGCTGACATGGGCTTCTCAAACACCAAAGGTTATACCGTGAAGGAGGTCTTTGAGAACAAAAATATTGGTTCCTTTGGACTGACTGAACAATTTACTCTCTATGTGGAACCTACAAGTATCTTTCTCATAATTGCTGATCCTAATTAAATTTTGATTTTTTTTTTTATAAAGATCATAAGTGTTTCAAAGTTGTATTGATTTTCCTGTTTGGAAATTATTTTTGAAAACTTGTCACTTTGGAAATAATATTGAAATTAATATGTTTTCGAAATTATTATAGAAAATTTGGATTTTTTAGAAATAAATTAAACAAAGTGCATAATTTACTGCCTCTTGAACATGTCCATTTGTGGGATATTTTCTTCTTATAATATTTAGGATGGTTACATTTTCTTTGAAGACTCAACTGCAATGCTGCCTGAAAGGAAATATACTTAATTTTAACACTACTTAAGGATAGTTCATTCCACTCTCTTTTCTACAAGTTTTTTACTTCTAGGGAGAGAAAATTGTCTAGCTTTTTTAAAAAATTGCTTATTTACAAATAACTTTATTTAGACACATTATAAAATGAAGATCTCAAAAGTTAGGCTCTTTCAGGTCAAAATCAGCTAGTTTGATTTACAGAATGATTAATCTTTGTATTCAATGATTGTAATAATGATTAGACTTTAGTCAGCTTTTTTGTATTTCTGTTGCTTCTAGGCAATGCAACAAAATCTTTTTGATTTTTGCAATTCAATTTCCCATTTATTCAATTTATAAAATTATCTGCTGAAGCTAATGCAAAGTTTTCAAGTAATGAATATTTTTGTATTGTTGTCTTTTAAATTTTCCTAAAGTATGTGAGATGTTGTCTATTACTACTATTAGTGTTTCTCAACCTGTGTGTGGTGGATAGCAAAGCAGTGCCATAAATTTGTTTTTGCTAATTGTAGTTTGAAAGAATTATTGAAATTATAACAAAAGTTGTAATTTCATATTGACTAAGATCAGTTTCAATTTGTTGAGCTGTTACAAATTACATTCCATGTATAAAAAAATGAAATCTATTGTATTTGTGATACAAAAATAATTTGAGAAATGTAAAATTAATTTGCTCATTCTTTATGTTTTGAAATGAGTGTATTTGATAATCTGTTCTAATGTTCTTAAATGTAATGAAGTGTGATAAGTTTGTTATTTAAGCTTAAATACTCTGGGGCTTGACTTTTTTTTATTGTATTGATTACATTTTAAAATATGTGAAAGATGGCCCAAAAGATTCTTAATTTTTATTTCATTCAGTAGAATTAAAATCCATTTCTTACACACTATACTCTTCATTGATCAATCTTCAACTTCACTAACTGATAGTATTGATGAATGACTAATCATCTGAATGGAGTTTCAGATTAGTTTACTGATATTATAAAATCACCACTAGAACTATTTCTACATTTTTACTTTGTTTATATTAATTTTACTAGATTTTGCGCACCATTTATTATTATTTTTGCTTCATACCATTGTGGTTTTCAGGATTGTTATCAACCATGACAAGTTGTTAAAGTTGCCTGAGAATAAAGTATTTCTTGTTATGTTTTCTTACTGAGCAACAACATGACTTCATTTAAAGAGCCATTTCTAGAGCCATGTTGAATGCCAAAGAAATGTTTCAATGTCATACTGTTATAATGCAATACAAATGTTGTAATGTCATGGCTAGGCAATCATTTGATGACATGAATGTAACTCCTTCATTATTTTCATCACACACACATGCTTTATTTTAAATGTAGTCTGCAAAACTTAAGTGGATAATGATCTTTTAAAAAAATGTGATAAATTTCTTTGAAAATTTCATTCCTTGAAATGGAGATTATTAAAATTGATCACCTAAGTCAGTGTTGAATTGTTTTTCATATAAATGTGTGCTTTATGGTCAAGGTTTTTTTTAATTAATATTTTTGTGTGTATGGAATTGGAAAAAATACCTTTTAACAATTAAAATGAAAGCTTTAAAAATGATGTGCTATTTGACAGTACTCTGAATAGTCTTATTTAGAGGGCATCTTCTTTTGTGCTAATAAGCATTAGTCAACAATCTATTCTATTATGCTTCTTCTACCAAATTGATATTTTTGGTTATCATGAAAGTCTTAAAGAAAGAAAATATAGGTGTTAATTTACTTACATAGTAACTGTCTAATGAATTGGAATTGAAAAAGATTGTTTTATAGTCAGGAAATGAAAGTAAATTATTTGAGAGAAATGGACTGATTACTACTTTACAATGATTTAAATAAATGGAAATTTCCATTTCTACGTTCACTTTGTCCCACTAGTCTGACATAAAAAACATTTTGCAGGTGGCATTCATTATTTGGTTCCAGTTGTACCACATTGTTAAAATATATTTTTTAATAGCTACAACCTATTGTGATAAAACATCTTCAAATGCAAATTCTTTCAGAAAAGTAACTTGACAGACTACACCAAATCAAATAACTACACCAATCAAATAACAAAGTGGTAAAAAGTGGTTTTATTGGGCATCTTACATAATCTTTCTATTTACAACTTAAGTGGTGGCTGAAGCTAAGAAAAACTAACTTTTGAATTGGCAAAATAATATTTTTTTAAATGGCTGTAAAAAAACACTATTTTACTGTGTATATATTAACAACCAACAAAAACATTTAAAAAGAAATTGACATTTAATTGTTTCAAAATCCACAGCTATTTAACGTCAGTAAAAGCAAAATTTCATAAGTACATTTTCATTGGTTAAGAAATGCATAGGCATACTTCAGACAAGATCACTATAATTTTTTTATTTGGGAGGATGGTGGACAGTGAAGTAAGTCAAAGCACCAAGCACTGCACCCATAACTGTTAACATGCACAAACTACAATATACTAAATGCACAATAGTAGGACATTCCAGTTTGCCTTTCAAACCAGTGCAAACATTTGTGGTATGGATGCTTACCCTTGAACCTATTTTTTCTGGGAATGCTAAGCTGATAATTTTTACCATTGTCGTCACGCAACAATATCTACTCATAAAGGAATTAAATGTTTGAAAATGCAATTTGCTGTGTAAGTTGTAAGTGAAGAAGGTCCAAATGACAATTTTTGGTACTGTATGCCAACTGTAAGAAATTCCTTCACATTTGTAGTGAGATAAAGCAAAATGTTTACTTAATGTCTGAATATTCTAAATGTACATGACATTGTTTGTCAGAAGACGAAAATGTTTTAAATTTAAAAGAAGAAGGCTATAAGATTTGTTCCAGTATCCATGACTAGGGAAATAACAAAAGTATTGATGATAAAAAACATCTTGTTTTACTTCTGCCATTCAAAATTTAAAAAATCTAAAAGCCTCCATAAACAAACATGCCGTGCAAAAGTTACAAGAAATATATTTGCAATTACATATCATGACATCAGTTACACAAAATATTTCAGCTGACATCTAACAAAGTGCAGCACAAACACCATACACAGCCAACTTTGTACGTATTTATATAATTAATTTATTGCATAAGTCAATTCACAGTCAGCTAATAGGTTTAGAATGTGTAGTTTTCTGTTATAAATTAATGGGTGTAGAAACTCTAGGGGGTGATGGCTGAAGGTTGATTCTTGCGTTGCGACTTGCTAGTTCCCTCTGCAGTTCTTCTACCTTTCTTTGGAGTTGTATTTTCAGTACTAGAAGCTCACGATTGCGAATGTGAATTGGCTCCTATATATATATACACACAAATAGTTTCAATCAAAAGAAATGTCAACTATTAATAGACAATAATCTGTGGTGATATAAATGTATGCACTAATCAATCAATACCATAGTAGTAGTTGTTGATTTTCAAATAATTAAATTCCCTCTTGTCAACAATCAAGTTTTCCTTGGAACTCTGTTGTTTCAAAAGTATTTGCCGTGGCCTAGGGAACTTGCCATCATGGCCTAGGGAACTTGCCATCATGGCCCAGAGAACTTGCCATGGCCCAGTGAACTTGTCATGGCCCAGGGAACACTCATTAGTCACTAATTGATGTACATTATTTTGGACCATCGATCATTAGAGATGTGCCACTGTGCCACTATCTTCATCCAGTGAGGACCTCTTACTCTTATGATACAAAAACTAAAAAGAGTGAGGGTTATGAAAGGTTACCTGTGGTTTAAACCTGGGATTCCAGCGGCAATAGTAGCCTGTCCAGACCTCCATTCGTCTCACACTGGCCACAGGAAACAAAACATTGTTGTGGATGTGAGCTACGTACAGAGGATTGGTGAACTCTTCCTGCTGGCAATTGATGAATGACCACAGTGACACGGTCAATTCCGGAACACGCTGGGAAAATGTTAAAAAACAAGATCGCTAACACATTTTATAGAATGACATGTACTGAATGTCAACAGTTTTATCTTAATTTGCTGCCGACAGCTTAGGTTCAGTCAATAGCTTTATCTTCATTTGCTGCTGACAGCTTAGGTTCAGTTAAAAGTTTTATCTTCATTTGCTGCTGACAGCTTAGTTTCAGTTAATAGTTTTATCTTCATTTGGTGCTGACAGCTTAGCTTCAGTCAATACTTTTATCTTGTTTGCTGCTGACAGCTTAGGTTCAGTCAGTAGTTTTATCTTCATTTGCTGCTGACAGCTTCATTGTGTCAGGAATTGAAATTACTGCACTAAATAATGAAAAACCAAAAATGACTTACCTCTTTGATTCTCTCCCTCTCACAATTGTAGAGGAAAGTGCCAAATAAGCAGCTGTACAAGTGGTCCAGTATGGTAATCAGGAAGTGCTCATTGAATTCAAATGCATTGGGAAACTTTAAACAAAAGAAAAGGATCTTGTTACGCTGCGCTAATATAAAAATTGATATTACATTGTTATGTACTGATCAACTTGAAATATTATGGAGACTAACATAAGCTGTGCAGGCCAGGAAATTGAGCAACTATTACACATTGAGCTCCATCCAATTAAATTTCTAAAGGCAACTAATAAAATTAAAATCGAACTTAATGTTTTTAATTTAGCTTATATATTTTTCTTTTGAATCCCAGCAATGTGCAGATGTTTTCAAAGAATTCTGATTGGTTCAAGAGTTGACAAATCTTTCTCAAACTTTGAAAGGTTCATATCTTTCTTGTGTCCATTCATTTCTTACTTTGTCTTTGGGGAAATTCATTGTAAAAATCGGCCATCAAACTCTTCTATTTAAAGCCATATTAAAATGACGAAGTTTTAACCTTTGACCACTCATTATCACCATTGCAGTTTGAGGGAATTAATGTTGACATGCATTTTGAGGCCCTTTAAAAACATTTTCCAACTATTACCTGCTGTGTCATCTGCCAAACACAGTCCACAAACTGTAGGAACACGGGTGATCTATCGGCATCAGAATGTTTATCTTCTCCATGACCAACTCGCTAGAAAAGGAAACAACATTAGAAATCATACAATGCACATTGTAAGGCAAACAACCGTTAACAGAAATAGACAAAATTAATGATTCCATCACACAGACACAATCTGGGAACGTGACTTACAGTCTTAAATTTGTGACCAAAACTCAGCCATTCCTGCTCAATGAGAACCTCAAAGCCACGAATCGTTCTATAGTAGGGGTCCAGCATCAACATAGCAAGGGATGTCAGCTGAAAACAGAGTTATGAAACATGGTTCTAAACAGTGGATAAATCAATGCTTCTCTAGGCTTCAGACAACCATAAAGACACTAAAAGATCCATCAATCAAAGTTTCAAATCATGACCAACTTGCCCTTTGAAATTTGTTTTTGAAATAAAAGCCATGGTGACTGGGTCATTAGTCCAGCACACTACAATCTGGAGGTCAAAAATCACCGCAGCTCTCTGGACAATATCATAACAATATCAAAGGCATCAGCAGAAAATTTTGGTTTGCTCAGATAGCAACTCCCGCACCTGTTGGGTGTTCCCCTATACACAACTTGGGGAGGTGCTGGATGACAGGCCACAATAAGTGAAGTCCTCACATACACAGCCTCAAGCGTTCCTTTTTGAAGGACTAGGCTTGTATTACAAACACAATTAATAAATTATATATTTCTTGATAAAACGTACCTGGGCAGTCCTGTCCCACCCATCACTACAATGAACTAGAACCGATGTTTTATTGCTTTCTACTTTGTCTGCAATTTTTAAAGCTCCAGCAATGATAATCTGAAATGAATTGAAATTTTTCTAAGTATGCAAAATAACAAATTGTCTATTGTTTCCTTCAAAATGATAAATTAAACAGAATTATCTTATATATCTAAGAATAAGCCAATATCATAGTGTTAGGCTCTGTTCAATAGCCTGAAAAATAAATGTCCCAAAAGTGCACCTGACAGTATGCAAATTTTTATTCAGTCGTGCTTTTAGCAATGATTATGAACACAATTAATAACATATTTGTGTGTGTAAAAAAAAGGGGGGGGGGGAGGAGGGGGAAGATCTGTGATGTAGGATTTTCCCCAGGAAGCACAAGACAGCCAAAGCAGGGAATTAAATATTTTATAACTATATCAATATCGCAAAACCCAAATCTTTTACGCACCGGAACTTGGTATGTAGATGTATTTAACCTTCTTCATAAAACATATTTCAGGGGGAGCAAAGAGAGTATGTACGTTCTTATGTGGATGACTTTATCTTTAAATACAAAACCAAAACCATCAGGAACTTTATTTAGCTGAACATTGCAGTAACTGGCATATGTGAACGACACAGCGCAATTGGGCAGAAAATGCAAAGATATAATTAAAGATTCAAGGAAATTGAAGATGCCTCAGTTAAAACTGGACTTGAGGTAAGTGAAGCAAGGACAAAATATATGGTAAGGTCACAAAACACATACTTGTGACTATAGACCGACCGAATTTCGGCTTCGATGACAAAAGTGGCCATTTTATCACTTTCGGCCAAGTTTCAGTTTCAGCCGAAACTGAAAAGTTAACTTTCGGCTAAATTTTGGCTTCGGCTGAAAGAGAAAAGTTAACTTTGTTTTTTTCGGTTACGGCCGAAATTAACTTAGACTATCCGGCCGAAAGTGCCTGAGGTTTTCAGTCATCTAATACTCAGCGAAAGCGATATTTAACAACAAACTAAGTGACATTTAAGAACAAACTGAACGATTTTTATGAACAAATTAAGTGATCTTTAAGAACAAACTAAACGACCTTTAAAAACAAATAAAGCAATCTTTAAGAACAAATTAAGCGATCTTTGAGAACAAACTAGACGATATTTAACAACAAACAAAGCGAAATCTAAGAACAAACTAAACGATTTTTAAGAACAAATTAAGCGATCTTTAAGAACAAACTAAACGACCTTTAAAAACAAATTAAGCGATCTTTAAAAACAAATAAAGCCATCTTTAAGAACAAATTAAGCAATCTTTGAGAACAAACTAAATGATCTTTAATAACAAACTAAACGATCTTAACGAACAAACTAAACGATTTTTAAGAATGATGAACTAAATGATCTTTAAGGACAAAACAAATGATCTTTAATAGTAAACTAAATGATTTATAAGAATAAACTAACTTATCTTTAACAGAAAACCAAATGTTCTTTGGGAACAAACTAAAAGATCTTTAAGAACAAACTAATCTATTTTAAGGAACAAAATCAATTATCTTTAAGAAAAAACTAAGCGATCTTTATGAAAAAAACTAAGCAATCTTCAACAACAAAATAAGCGATCTTTAAGAACAAACTAAACGATTTTTAATAACAAACTAAAAGATCTATAAAAACAAACTAAATGATCTTTAAGAACAAACTGAATGATCTTTAAGAACAACTAAGCGATATTTTAGGATAAAATCAATGATCTTTAAGAACAAACTAAGCGATCTTTATGAAAAAACTTTGCAATCTTTTTTGAACAAACTAAATGATCTTTGAGAACAAACTTAACAATCTTTAAGAAAAAACTAAATGATCTTTAAGAGCAAATAAAGCAGTCGTTAAGAACAAACTAAACGATATTTAAAAACATATAAAGCGATCTTTCAGAACCATGATCAGAGCAACAATTTTGAGAGACCCGGTTTAAAAAAATAATTTTCACCACCAATGGGGGTGAGGGAGGTAGTCTCCCAACCAAATAATTACGTCACCAGCGCGGAAAGACTAGTGTGTTGTTACTAGGTTGAATATTAATACAGTGATATCTTGCAAGCTATTAATGAAAACACAAAGCATTAGTATTACGAAAACAGCGAAACATTGTGGTGATATTTTTATAGCCTCAATAACATATATTTAGTTGGCAATTGGCTCTATTAGAGGTATATGTTCTAGGTAGAAATTATATTATAAAAAGCAAAGGCACTCAAGAGTCTATTTTGCATTTATTCCTCTCCCCCCCCCCCCCCCCCCCCCCCCTTTTTCTATNTTTTTTCAAAAATTGTAAAGCAATGCAATTTACATTACTTTTATATTAAAATGGTAAAATCCAAAGTATTCATTAGACCAAGGGTCTCAAACTCAAATCATCAAGGGGGCCGCAGGAGGTAGTGTCTGAGTGAAACTGGGCCACATCAAGTATTCCACACAAAAAGATTACAACTGTTACAATCTGCTCAAACTTTATAAATAACAATAAAAACATTGAGTGTCCTCAAGAACTTGGCTTCACTTTCTTCCACCTACTCACTGTTGCCAGAGACCTGGCAGCGCTTCTTTTTACACAGCTGAGCAACTTTGGCTTGAGTGAGGAAGCAACTAAGACTCTCAGTATAGCTTGAAGATCCTCATCAGTAAGTTTGGCCCTGAACTTTGACTTGTTAAAGTGCATAATGGAAAAGAGCTATTCACACAGATAGGTACGCCCAAAAAGTCGTATGATCCGCTTGCACAACTTAAAAATTTCAGGGAAGGTGGAGGGCAATGCAATAAAATTTCCATGCTTGTCTGTTTTTCCATTCAGCTCCTCGCGCGGGGGATCTTGCACATTAATGGAGAAAGGGTCAGCAAAAAGCTGAAAAGTGGCTGTCTGTGTTTTAAAGTCTAAAAATGTAGAGACCCAGACTGGGTTAAAAGGCATAAGAAAAAGATGATTTAGAAAGTGACCAAGCTGACAGGCTCGGAATTTACCTCACTCATAAACACTAGCGGCAATTTTAATATGGATCCTTTGATGATGTATCACATTGCTACGTTTTACCCAATTATGGTTGTGCGTTACCCGCCAACTTACTTTAAAAAACTTTTCTCAAAGCCGCACTCTTTGCCATGTTTGTCTCATAAAAAGCTATAAAATAAAAACTTTTATTATGATTTTAAAAAGGTTCTTACCATTATAATCATCATACAAAAATAAAAAAAAACATTTAACATTTTATAGATATGAGAATGGGGAAAATGTGCCGGCGCATTTACACTAAACTTTTCTGTCATGTAGCGGGCCGCAAAATATCGTCTTGCGGGTCACAAATGGCTCGCGGGCCGCGAGTTTGAGACCCCTATATTAGATGTTTATTTATTAATATTCACGAAAATCTCAATTTTTATAAAAAGAATGTAAATATTTATACTTTCCCCCATTATTTTCGATGTATGCAGAATGTATGCGGGAACAAATTTCAAAATATCTAAATATTTCATTTTCGTTCGAAAGTCATTTTTAACTTTCGGCCTTTTTTCGGTTTCGGCCAAAATCAGAAAATCACTTTCGGTCGGTCTCTACTTGTGACATAATCAGAATAAGCATTAGCAACCACAACTTTGAGAGAGTAGCTACTTTCAAATATCTATAAGCTACCATAAATGAAATAATTTTGGAGATGAAAGAAAGGATAACAGCAGGCAAACACTCTTATTTCAGACCATAAAAACTACTAGAAAGCTAAAACCTTTCAAGGAGAACAAACAAGGCAATAAACGCTACTATTATAAAACCAGTTTTATTTTACGCAAGTGAGACTTGGTCCTTTATCAGAAAACCAGAGAACTTGCTCAACACATGGGAGAGGAAAATCCTCAGGAAAATATATGGTTCTGTGATAGACAATGATGAATGGATAGTCCGTAGAAACCAAGAGATATATCAATTTTACGAAGATCCAACAATAGTTGCAACAATTAATAAAGGTTGATTGCGCTGGACAGGACACCTTAAGAAGATGCCAGATTGTAGAGCAGCAAAAGTGATCTGCAGTCAGAAACATGGGAGAAACTGCTCACTAGTCTCAGATGGTTTGATGACGTAGAGATGGACTTAACCAGCTTAATAATATTTCTAAAAAACACAAGACTCTCACAAACTTGAGAATTGGTTAAGAGGTCTTTTATTTAGATATAAGAATTCTGTGTTTTACCATGTCCCGATGTTGGGTAAATTTTCAATGAAGATACCAATACATCACAATCCATTAATTATGTTTTAAATGGTAAATCTTACAGATGTTTTAAATGATAAATGGTAAATGTTCCTGAAGTTTTAACTGGTAAGTGTATGTTGTGTTTTTTTTAAAACATGTTTTCTTTGCAGTTCAGGGGGGTGAAAAGACTTGGCTAGGCCTATATTGTATAAAATATAGAAATTTACAAAACCAATGGAGGTCAGAAATGTAAACATCTATAAATAGATACTTCCTTCAAAATAAGGAAAGTCTGATTTACTATTTCCAAATAAACATTTCAAGTATGGCATTTTTCCGTCTGCGGGAGACGATAGATTATCTTTATAGCTTGCAGCTCTTGGTGTGGCTGGTGAGACCAATCCTTGAATGGCAGTCTCTGTTACATTTCCCACACACGAATGCGGTGGAGCAGTATTTACCGGCCTTCCTCCTCGCTCTTTTTGCAGCTGTTTCCGCCCTGTTTTGATCCTCGGCATGTAGTGATCCTGCCTTCACGATGCCCTGCCATGAGGATCGATCCTCTGCCAGCTCCTCCCAGTTTGAGATGTCGATGTTGGCCGACTTCATGTCTCTTTTGCATATGTCTAAGTATCTCAGACGAGGCCGTCCAACTGACCTTTTCCCTGTCGCCAGCTCGCTGTATAGCACGTCCTTTGGTATGCGACCAGATTGCATTCGCTTGACGTGTCCAAGCCAGCGGAGGCGTCTTTGGATTAACATGGCTGGGACGCTACACATGTTTGTTTGGGACAGGACATCCGTGTTGGGGACTTTGTCTTGCCATTTAATGTCAAGGATGTGGCGCAGGCATCTGAGGTGGAAGCCATTGAGCCTTCTTTCGTGTTTAGAGTATGTGGTCCACGACTCGCATCCATACAGAAGTGTGCTCAGTACGCAGGCCTGGTACACCTGCAGCTTAGTTCTTGTTGTGAGTTTGGCGTTTGACCAGACTCTTTCCTTCAGTCTGGCCATAACAGTTGCGGCCTTCCCTATCCTCCCACTTATCTCATCCTCCATTGAGAGGGTGCTCGATATGTTGGATCCCAGATATGTGAATCTGTCAACAGTATCCAAGTCGTAGTCGTCGATGGCGATAGTGGGGAGGGAGTCAGCGCCCTGTGCCATAATGTTAGTTTTCTTTAGGCTAATTGTCAGGCCAAACTCTTTGCAGGCAGCGGATAGGCTGGATACGAGGCTCTGCAGGCCGTCAGCTGTGTGAGATACCAAAGCGGCATCGTCCGCAAACAAGAACTCCCGCAGCAAGACCTTTCTTGTTTTAGTCTTAGCTCTAAGGCGGGCAATGTTGAATAATTTGCCGTCATCTCTAGTGTGGATGTATATCCCCTCGCTGTTGTTCTGAAAGGCATACTGGAGTAGGATGGAGAAAAAGATTGCAAATAAAGTAGGAGCCAGCACGCAACCTTGCTTTACTCCACTACTCACTGGAAAAGCTTCTGAGGCGGCACCGTTATAGCACACTGTGCCCTGCATGTTTTCGTGGAACTGCTTGATGATGTTAAGCAGTCGTGTAGGGCAGCCTATCTTTTTGAGGATCTGAAACAGGCCGCTTCTGCTGACAAGATCAAAAGCCTTAGTGAGGTCGACAAACGCAATGTATAAAGGCATATGTTGCTCCCTGCACTTCTCCTGCAGCTGGCCCAGAGAGAAGATCATGTCTATGGTTGACCTACCGGCGCGAAAACCACATTGCGATTGGTTTACATTGGGAGTACACGCGATGCTAGGGTCTGTAGGCGTGTTAATGCAACTCGGGCGAAAGCCTTTCCAACTATGCTGAGGAGGGAGATTCCACGATAGTTGTTGCAGTCACTCTTGTCTCCTTTATTTTTGTACAATGTAACGATGTTTGCATCTTTCAACTCTTGTGGTAGCTGTCTCTGTTCCCAGCACAGAGTAAGGAGATCGTTCAAGGGCCGTAATAGTACTCCTTTTCCACATTTGAGAGCTTCTGGTGGGATACCATCATTGCCCGGGGCTTTCCCACTGGCGAGACAATCGATGGCTCTACGTAGCTCTTCTATTGTGGGTAGGGTATCAAGCTCCTCCATGACCGGCAAGTCTGGGATATCGTCCAGGGCAGTGGTTGAGACTTGGATTATCGTTGCGTATATTTCCAAGTAGTGCTCTATCCACCGCTTAAGTTGTTTATCATTTCACCCGCATGGAAAATGGTCAATTTTTCTTTTGATAAAATACATCAAAACTCGATTTGGTTAAGTGCTTAAAAATTGGATTCATAGATGTTGAGAATTTCCAATAGCAGGTAGAATGTAGCGCAATATGCCATTATTTATAACCCCAGGTCATATCTTCTAGTTATTTTATAATAATAGTATAAGTTTAATTGTTTATAAATATTTATGTTACTCAATACCCCTTCAGTAACATTTTTTACAGCACTTACTTTAATATGCTCTAACCAATGTGTTGATTCAATGTTTGAAAGCCAGTGAGCATCGTCAATTGTTGGGAAACAAACTTCCTTTAACTTACGCAAACTGCATGGAAAATGTTACTTAGAATTATAATAATGTTACACGATAAATGTAAACAAAAAATATTTTAATCTGGAAGGACGTCATAATTAACTCAATTAATTATTAATCATCAAATGAATTAATTTTACCAATAAAAAATTAATTTGGATGGTAAGTTTAATGGCCTTCTTTCCTCTGATGGCATGAATGGTGGTATGTCTAATGTCCTACCTTTCCCTCATAACGTGAATGTTATGAATATCCAGAAAAATCAATTCAGCATTTTGATAAGCATCTTCACTTTCAAATCCCCCTCCTCTTGCCTGAAATTAATTATGAAAATAGTTTCTCAGGCTGTTAAGCCTTGGGTAAATGCGCTTTTTACAACGTTGTTGAACTGTAGGGCACTTTTTTTAAAAAAATACACAGCTAATGTGTTTTTCTGTCTCAGAAATTTATTATTTTAGAATGAAAAAGTTTTATAAAAATAAGAAACTTTACCTTTCATATATAGCTTTCCCATCACTACTTCAAATACAATAATACTTAATGATTTTAAAGCCTTCAGGTTAAAATTGTTGAATACAATAACACTATTAACATTTTAGGAACACTTAAATTTACTTATGTTACTTTCAATTTCCAAAGTGAGAAGCCAAATAATATTTATTTTACCTTGTTGGCAACGGCATTTACTGATGGCCGGGCATCCATGATGTAGAGTTTGTGTGACTGAGCGTTGGTATCCATGATCATCTGTATGTACCGCTCATCGTCCTTGCTTGTTTTGCTGGTCATTCCAACTAAAGGCTGGGAGGATCGTGTTATGGAGGCTTGGCTCTCTGGATGAATCCATGACAATACCTAAAATAATTTTATAATTTTTATGAATCCATGATAATACCTGGAATCATTTAATCATTTTTTTTATGAAATCTGAGTATGGCTTTTTAAACATTCCGAAATGGGAAAACAATGGACCTCATTCACCAAACTTGGAGTAGTTAAACATTATAAACTTTACAATATAGTTCATAATGGGCTTGCTTGCTATGTTAACGTTGTGTTTAAATGTAAGGAATTTCTTTTTTTTAATAATATTTGTTTAAAAAAAATATATTTTTAAAAACAAGTCTAACAGGATTGTTCAAGTTAGAATTTTTATTTTTATTAAGATTTATTAGATTTTTTTGTAAATAGTAAAATTGTTTTAGAATTTTAAAAGACTGACCGGTATTCTTTGTCTGCTCCTGAATTCAGCTACTTTTTGGAGATCAGAATCTGATGCTTGCTTTGGTACAGCAAACTGTAATTATGGATATTAAAATCTAAGACACAGAAAAAAACATGAGAATAGTAATATTGGTGTTCCCTTTTTAATATGCACTCTGAATTCCTAATTCAGTACAATTTTCCCTTTTTTCTATTATAATAAAAGTTATTCCTGCAATGAAAGGGGAAAAAAATTATTTTAAAATTATAATGGACATTAAGAATTTAGTGGTTCCACTTCAAGAAAACACAGAGCCCAAGAACACACCATACCATTTCAGCTTCTGGTAAATAAATTTTCATAAAAATTAAAATTACTGTACCTATTTTATAGAAAATAAATCAACTATACCATACCACTGCTGGATAGCTGTCACACAGTTGGTAAGTTTCATTGATTTTGCTGACCTTCCAACTTTCATTAGGCACTCCCTGTAAATGACCATTATATATGTCAGGGTAATAGCTTCATACAATTTACATTTTTCATTGACAATAAGACTTCCTTCCTCCTCAATATTTCTCTTATTAAAATTTTTTTTACATTATTTTTTTTGATGTAAAAAAAATAATTTTTTTTTTAAATTTAAAAAATGCTATTTTTACATTTACAATCTTAATATTTTTAACTGAAAGAATTCTGCAGTATCCTAGTTTCATCAACATTAAAAGAGAACATTGTTGGGTGGTACTCACCAAAAGTCTTCTTTACTAAAAATCTGCCAGCATATGTTCAAGTTATGGGATTGATAATGTGGTGCATACATGTTCAAAGCATTAATAGATTTTATTATCAACACTTTAAGTTAAAATGATTTTCAAGCCAACAACAGTCTTCCATCAATTTACCATTCTTTTTAGTTCTTTTATGGGATCATATATTCTCCATCCATTTTCCTGGCCATACTTTTCTTTAAATTCAAAGGCAAAGAAAGGCTGAAAGAAAAATACAAGATAAAACTAATGACAAATAAATAAATAATGGGACTAGGTATGTTGAAGCAAATAGTTGAACAAGGTATGTTGAAGAACAGGACAATAAAAAGAGAAAATTTTGCTTTTTTTTTTGGTGCCAAAAGCCTTCTTTGGCAGACAAAACAAGAAAAAACAAAGAAATAGAAATTAGTAAAAACTTGAGTGTCTATAGTTCGCTGTGTTGTAGAATAATGATAGAGGCGGAAGTGCCATATTATTGATGGAAGTTAGGTTGTCCAAAACGGAAACATCTATACTAGTAACTAGTAGTTAGCCAAAAGATTACAGGAAGTAAAAGAATTTAGGTATCATTAATGTGGAATTTAATAATTTAACTGACAAAAAAATATTTTTAAAATATAAAGACTATAAGAAATAAGAAAAGAAATACAGAGAAACTGAGGACCACTAGCAGGAGAGTATTTGGTTGATTCCATGTAGTGAGGTGGGTGGGCGTGAAGGCAACTATAACAAAGAAAGATTTCAAGAAATAATTAAAGAAAAACATTTTTTTAAATATCACTTACCAACTTATTTGTTAGAGGGAATGCATACTGATGTATTTTTTCAAAGACTTGTCTCCGGGAATGGTTTTCTTGCTTGTGAGCAAACCGTAAGTTACGCATGTCCTGATGAAAAAGTACTAGTTTTTTAAGGAAATTTTTTTAATTAGGTAATATATTCTTTCAGGTAGGTTTTTCTCCCCTCAAAATTTCGTGTTGAAAAGTGATTTTTTTGTTATTTAAAAGGTAAAAATTGATATGATTTTAACATATATGCTACAGATTACATTCGATTGAAAAAACATCATTTGAAACATTTAGCTTTATCAATATTTCTCATTTACTCTTTACTGATTTTTTTTTCCTTCAGATTTCTAGTAACTGGAGGTTAAATGAGAGTCAATAACTTTTAGAATCCATGTCTAAAGTTGATGTTTTTTATAAATTTGTAGGCTTCTACAAATGTTTGTTTCTAAACATATAAATTCAACACTTCAAAGTTGTGAGAAAAATGTTGCATAATTTGTTTATGAAAATGTGAAATAAATTGTTTTGGTTATCAGATGCAAAGAAGAAAAAAATAATAAATTAACTGGATTTTTTTTCCATAAAATTGATTTATTCAGAAACAAATTCATTTTTGTATGTCACATGAAGGAATCAGGATTTTTTTTTTTTGAACATGTGACCATAATATAAAAGATTTTGTCAAATGTGTCTAAAGGAGGAAATTAAATTTTTTTTTTCTTCAAATTTCACCACTACAAAGTATTGAATTACAGGTTATTATCATTTTACCAGATTAAAATTATTTACACACAAGAAAACATATCATTAGATAATTTAAACTTTATGGTACAGTGGGTCCCAACAAAACCAGCGACCCGCAAAAAAAAATCACATAACAATAATTAACAATTAAAAATTAAGAATAAAAAATTGTATGCGCTTAAAAAAACTCCTCTCGTCTTTTATATAAAACAAATGACATATATAATTTTAAAACTTTAATTAATATAAGCTCAATATATTTCCTTCTCACTTACTTCAAGTTGAAATATTTAATATATATTAATTGAGTTTATATGATAATGAAGGAGAATTTTTTTTAAACTTAATTATTCTTACTTTGCAAATAATGTCAATGCCGTAGGAATTAACACCCCTACTTGAAGCACCTCCAATTTTTTCAACTTGGCTGGCAACCCCCAGTGGTACATCAAGAATGAACGGAGGTTCCTTTTTAAAAATAAATGGAATTTTTGTAATAAAAACCCATCATAGCAATCAGAAATGTTTTATTATAATTTTATGTTCATTTAAAAAAAGGCAGTTTACCAGTAACAAGAGGATTACAACTTAATGATACTGGTAAAAAGAGGAGTATGACTAAATGATACTGGTACAAAGAACAGTATGACAAAATGCTACTGGCAGACCTGTTTACCCTCAAACCCTTAAAATCGTACAATATCATCATATAATCGTTCAATACATTCTCTTTATAGAGCAAAGACGTGCTGCATATATAATGTATACACCTCAAAATCGTACATTGTACGCCAAAATCGTAAGAGTAAACAGGTCTGTACTGGTAACAAGAGGAGTACCAGTATGACTAAATGATACTGGTAACATGAAGAGTATGACTAAATCTATGTTTCTATGACATATATCCAAATAAAAATATAAAAAAAGAGAGCACCAAAAATATTTCATCAGTAAAAAAAATAGGTCCATTCACGTTACTTATTCATTAAATTTTTTTTTAAATTTAAGCTTAATTCTTAATTATTGAATAACTTTTATGCTCTCACCCTTTCGATACTTTTGAAGAAAAGCTTGTAGTTCGTCAGTGAGAGTACTCCTCTAATGGGTCCACTGTAAGGGCACAGATAAGTAACATCCAGGGCTGAAATAACAATAAAAGAGATCCTTATTTTTGTGACTTCACAGCATAGACATATGTAAAAAAAAATTTTTAATTTTTAAAGATTCTTTCTTATAATTAAAGGGCTTTGGAATTCATTCTTTTAAATCAAAAGATAAATAAAGTAAATAGGAGGCAAATAAAGCTTCTTGATGTTTAATTTCCATTCCAAGTGTGTGAGGAATATGTGGTAAAATTCCTGAAAATCACCAAATTGTGTTTGTTAGAGCTTTTAAAGTACAGACCAGAATTCTTTGCAATAACAACCAAAGAGAAATAAATGAGCCATTCAAAAATATTAACAGTTTCTAATAATTATAGTAAAGTTACCTTTCCCCTTATTACTTTCCCCTTCCAGAAGAGGACATTCCTCATTAGGAGTTGGCTTTGCAGCCTCTCTCAATGTCTGCAAGAAAGATGAAATAATAATTTTGTTTGAACATAAATACTGGAAGCTTCCTTCACTTATCCTTGGAAGTTAACCTGAATAATAGATACATTATTATTATGTTTAATATTATTTTTCATCCTTTGCGTGCATAAATGACCAAGGCTTCGACTTGAGTAGTAGCCTTGACTTGAGCTGTATTTTGTTTTAAGTGACGGAGTGTTGCTCAATACTTCAGCCTCACTCTCTCGTCCTTGCCTATTTATTCCAATGGCAAGACTTAGTCAAGACGACTGGAAATAGACCAGGATGCAGTGGATGACCAGCAGTGTTTCTTGTGTCTCACTGTGCTGATATGTGTTCTACATCGCAGGAGCTGTCTGAATTTTCATTGAGTCAAAGTCGTAGAGTTTGCCTTCTCTTACATGAGTTGCCATCCAAGATTATTGGGTCCAATCCCTCCTGGATGCTGTTGCTTTTTGCTTGTCTAGGCTCTTCCTGGGGATTGAGCTCCAGTCCACAAACTTGGGATTTCCTCAGTTTGAACAACTCAGCCACCCAGCACCCCGATAATAAATAGATAAAATCCTGAAATTCATGATGACCAGCAAAGTGTCAATATTAATGTATTAATGTAAACTTAAATTCTCTGGCATCACTAATATAAAATTAACTTACTTTAGTTTCAAAAGGTTGCATATTTTCTGATGATGTAGAAGCAGATGAACACAAGGATTTTGTTGGTGACCCAGCACTCTGTGAACCTTTAGAGCTGTTACTTGGTGAGCTAAGACGGCCCCGTTCCGCTACAATAAGGGCTTCAGTTGTTCCTTTTATGGCACTTGTAGACAGTTCTACTGCATCCTGATCCATAATTAACTCATACGGTCCTTTAAAAATTCCTTGAAAATTAAAACATTTAAAAATTTAAGTGCTTTTTTTCTTGTATGAAATTAAGTGTAAAACAAAAGCTGTTAGATATTTTAAATATTTTAAAACGTTTTCAGGCTTGTGAATAATTTAAAAATATTTAGAAGGCATTATTTAGTTAAATAATGTGTGCCAAATTTGAAGTTGCAACATAGTTGGCACGATTTCTAGGAATGTTGCACTATAAGACAACTGGTACAGCTAAGTAATTGTATATACCATATCTAAATATGTAATATGTACTATTAAGATAGCCACATTACTAACAAATAAATAAATGTTCCCAGTTTATTATAACATGTTAAATATTTTTAACATCGTCATCAGAGTAATATAGATTTAGAATATACAAGTTTTCTGAATTGAATTTGTTAACTTTCACATAATTATTATTTTAAATTTATGTTCCAATTATTTTTATTATAAAACTAAAACTCCATAAGTAAATGTAATTAAGCATTTCAAGTTCAAGATTAAAAATAAGTATACAATATGTTCCATACTACTTATCCTGTTAGTAGAGTGCATGATTAAATATTTTAACATGTAGCTGTAGAGCTATGAATACTTTGACCAAAGAATTATATCTGCTAGTTTGCAATTTAAGTAATTTGTTCTCTGACACTAAAACTTCAAACACTAACGCTACACTAAGCCACAATGAATAAATAATTAAAATAACTCCATATAGACAAAGTCTCATTAGCATGTTAATTGTGTTGTAACTATTTTAATTACTTTAGAGTAGCACACATTGTCTAATTAATTACCCTTTTTAAGTTTTTATTTCTATTTTCAAAATGTTGGCACACTGACTTTCCATTGTCATTGCAGAGTACAGACACAAAGAATGAGAGATTAGAATCAATGCAACACTCAATGGAAATGAAATAGTAATTAAAATTCTATAATTTGACTGTGTTGTGACTTTACTGTTATATTTATCATCAATTTAAAATTTATGTTATAATTTTGTGTGACAATAGCCGGTATTGACACTGGCCTTGATTGGGCTAACACTTAAAGAGAAAAAAAAAGTTAATATTAATATTATCAATAGGACTAATTAATAGGCCTAATAATGGTAGTAATAGTATAGCTTATTTAACTAATTAGTAGTCATTAATATAAGTATAAGGCTTAGGCCAAGTAATGATTATGATTACCTGGTCCTGGTTATGATTCTTAGTTAATTTGTTAGACTTAATTTAATAATGTTTCTATCCAGGATTACTATTAGGGGTGTGCCGGATCCGTTTTTTCCAACCGGATCCGGATCCGGATTTTCTTATGCGAAATCCGCCGGATCCGGATACCGGTTTCTCCCGGATTCCGGATTTTGGTACTATTGGTAGATACTTCGGTAAGTCAAGGTGGACTACTACTTTTTGTGTATGGGAATTCGCAATCGGCGCCAAAAAATCCGAGTTTTTAATTTTCCGATGTGTGTGTCTATTTATTATTAAATTAGTACTTTCGATATATATTTGAGTTCCGTTCCATTTGGATAAGTGTCTTACGAGAGACGCCATGTTTCTACGCGTTCGCAGCAGGTTATGCAGCTCGCTCAACCTAATTTCGCCATGGGGTTGGCCACGCCCCCCTTTTTAATGGCGGAAGTTGACGATACTTAGGAAATATTAATTTATTATCACTATTTACATCAAAATAATTGATAACTTGTGTTTCAGAATGCATTTAAAGACATTTAAACTGGAATGTTTTAATTTGAGCTTTAACAACCCGGTAGAATCCATATTATAAATGATCAGAATTTACCGTGTGCAACACGTTGTCATTGGCAACCATTCACAGCCACTTGCATAACTGTATCGTAGTACTACCTCAGAGTTTCATTCATAAGAGTTTGCCGTGTGCAAAAACTATTAAACCATTGGTCAGGGAAAGCTTTAATTAATTATTCATGTGCCAAAGTTGAAAGTTTAAACTAAGTCTAAACAGTATTTTAGTGATAAGGCAGGGAATGCGTTGCCTTATATAAACTATATAGTCATTGCGCATGACGGGATTGGTGGAATGAGATCACAGAATGTGGAGATGCAGTCCATGTTAAAAAATGACAAACCAAGTCGTACTTTAAAAATTCATAACTTTAAAACTACAACAGCTAAAAATATGATTTTGGTGTTATAATTCTTTAAAAAATTACATCTTTTCAACTATGCCATTGGTTTATTTTTACAAAAAGTTTAAATTTTCTTATCAAAGTCCCTACACTATTGGCCACTATTAGCGGTGCTGACTCTAGCCTCTGGTATGTACGGAATATTAAACATTAAACAAGCTCAACGCTCGAAACAATCGATTAATGTATCGTGATCGTGTGAAATTCGGGAAAGAGAATTACTTTTATTTCAGATTATGATCCGGTGAGTCACAAAATCTGGCAAATTCCGAAATCCGGTATATTCCGGATTCCGGAATCCGGTTGTTCCGGATACATGTAAATCCGGCGGAACCGGATTTCACCGGATAGTGCAAAATCCGGCGGAACCGGATTCCGGACCGGGGTCCGGCACACCCCTAATTACTATCACTCAGAATCAATCAATCATTGACAGTGCAATAGTAATTAGTAATAGTAATAGATGAATAGTAATAAAGTGATAATAATATAAATATAACTTAATTTTTAATACTTAATAATAATGACTCCAACTTCAAGTGACTAAATACTAAATTAAATAAATAATGTCCCTGCCCTATTTTTTTATATTTATTTACCATATTCATATACTTATACTATATACAGTTACAGTAGTATTATACTTAACTTATTGAATTGATTATATTTTAGGACTAAACTATATTACTATTACTAGTAGTAGTAGTAACTACTAGTTACTATACCTTTGAGATCCTGATTCATCATAATAAAATCATGTCATTGTCATATCATAAATTAATCATTAGATTCATTTATTGCTCATCAATCCCCTTGTTATGTGACTTTAATCATCAATGGGAATTGATGATCATCGATTTTTTTCATTATTTGATATCAATTTAAAAAAATATATAACTATCCAAGAAGTAAGAGAATTGTGATTATTAATGATTATCATTAAAAAATATTTTATTTACAAATTGTTTTCTTTCTTCTAATCAACTTCGTTTAGTCAGGTAGGCTTACTTATTTTATAACGTTATTTTTTTTAAAATTGGGATCACAATATAGATGACATTGGTATTTAGCTTTATTTAAAGACAAACGTGAATGTACTTAACATTATAAATACTGGTGTTTTACCTCAACATCCTGACAAATGTTAAATAATATCTTAAGAGTCTTAGAGGCAGTGGTTTAACCAGGCAGGTTGTAGTTGTACAATAATTGTGTGTAGTGTGTATTACTATTGTTACGTATTGAATTTGTTTACAGCTCTCTAATGTTAAATATAAGATTTCGCTTTAAAGCATTGGATTTGTTTTGTTTTTTTCTTTCTTTTCTTTTTTTTAAACGAACAAAAAGGAACTTTCACGTAAGCGAAAAATATTTTTTTTCTTGACAACTATTTTTTTATTTGTAAAAAAATCTTTTCACTTCTATTTCTACTTGACATCAGGGCAGACTTAATTTGTTACAATAATATAGTAATATTTTGAATGCAAAAAAAAAAAAAATGATGGGGCTATAAAAAANCCCCCCCCCCCAAAAAAAAAAGGTCTGTGATGGCTCTTCTTTGTCGTTTAACGATAAAAGTCTCAGAAAAAGTTTAAGTTGTCTTTGGTTTCCCTTAATGGCCTTACTTTTTTTTAAAAAAAATATCCTCAAAATTCTTAACGTTTTATCATTTGTTATGCATGGATATGCCTCAGATGCATATCTGTACGCAAAATTACGTCATTCATTATAATAATTATATTCAAGATCAAAGCAAGTCCTCAACCCCTCCCGGCCACACACACACAAAGAGAAAAAAAATATTGATCCTTTTGGCACCGGGCCCCTACACGGCCCGGACCTACCCAATAGATGGGCCAAGCCCGGACCACTAGGCACTTTTTTTTATTTGCCTTTACGTTAATCTTGCACTGGACTTAACGAAAAATTAACGACAACGAAATCCAACAATGTTTCTCAACTGCTCGTCTTGTCACATCCTTAATTGCAGTTGTAGTGCAGATCAAAATCGAATGGTGTATAATGTTACGGTCAGAGGCGTAGCGATGGGGGGCAGGGGTGGACAGATGTCCCCGGGCGCAAGCTAGTTAGGGGCGCCAAAATGTGATTTGATATTATATTATTGGTAAAAATAATGGGTTTGAGAGTTGAAAAAAAGAAAAGGGGGCGCTTTAAAATGGATCTTGTCCCCGGGCGCGAATCTTGTCCCCGGGCGCCAAACACCCTCGCTACGCCACTGGTTACGGTCAATGTAAATAATTGGGCATTATTTATAATGCCCGGGAAATTAAAAAGTGCCCAGTGTGATTTGACAAAATGATAAATTAAATAGAAAATATTACATTGCCCGGGCATTATGAATAATACTGGAAATCGAGTGGGCAATTTGAGAATATTTTTGTTCATATTTCTCTACATACCAAAATAAATTATGAATAATACTGGAAATCGAGTGGGCAATTTGAGAATATTTTTGTTCATATTTCTCTACATACCAAAATAAGGGGATATTATTTTAAAACAATTTTTTTTAAATAACTAACAAACAAATAAAGAAACAAACTGGTGGTGATAAAATAAGTATAAAAAATACAATACATACGCCTAACTAAAAATCATATTAGGTATGGACTTACAAATACATATACACACAAAATGTCAAATCCTAGAGTTTCTATTTATTAGAGCAGCTACCACTTTGGTGACATTTCGAGTTACATAGCTTTTTTTCTTTACGGCACTTGCACTTGTCAGATTTACAGCCACATTTACAACCACATCGCCTACAGCATTGACCCCCAGTCTTGGATGACATTCTGGCACATTCTCTTAGTGAAATCTCTGACTGAGGAATTTCTTCGGCATAAATAAACTTATCATTACATATTGTAAATTGGTTCCTAGCATAAAGTTGATTTAGGATTCCATGTTTCGTGCATAATTTATAAAGATTGGCATCTGTTATTTCAAGAACAAATGCCAAAATATTTCTTCTATCGGTGCGACCTCTGTCGACATCTGGGACTCGAACTTTAACTGTGCCACCCTTTATAGCGGCAGGGTATTTTGAATTAGAGGTCATTTTTTCAGCTTGTTTTTTAGATTGCTTGCTGAAATCTCCCTAATTTTTAATATGTTGACTTTTCTTTTTTTTCACATTGGGATCCTCTGAGGAATCTTCATCATCTTCATACGTGCGTTTTTCAGATGAATATCAGATGGCTCGGAAACATTTATTTCTCTTTCGTTGTTATGGAAATCAGAACTTGGTTCAGATAACGAAGTTGAAGGTTGAACATAACTATCAATAGTAAATAGTTCCTACTCGTTATGTTGACTTGGACCTAGCTCCACTAAAGAATCTGACGCTGGTTCCTTTTCCAGTGCACCTTCTTCTACAGACTGTAAATCACACCATACGCACGTTGCCAAATTGCTGTCCATTAATTAAAGTGACCAGAGAAATAATAGCAGTATTTATAATGACCGGGCAATGTAATAAATTATCCTAGATTGTCGCAGACAAATACAAAATTATTAAATTGCCTGTTTTTATCGGTCATTATTTATAATGACCAAGCATAATAAAAATTGCCCTGGATAATCAAATTGACCGTAACATATAATATAATACAGAAGGGAGAAGTTCTTGTTCGTGAAGATAAGCCTTTTTAAGACGTTTGATTAACCATTTAAATACGCGACAATGACGCAGAAATCCAACGCGTGTCTTGGACACGTGGCTGTGCAAATTATTATTATAATAGTGGTCTTTATTATTTAGCACAGAACCCCAGCCTAGGGCTAGGCTCACAGCACAACGCCTCACAAAAAAAGTGCAAAAAGAAACGTGGCAAAATGACAAGATATCAATTTGGACAGATTTTAAAAATATATATATAGTAGTTTAAACAAACTACCTAGGCCTACCTTTGAAAAAATAAATAAAACGGTATTACCAACTGGTAGCAAATGAAATAAAGTTGTTGTTTTTTTCAAATCATATTTAAGTCAGTGAACCTAAAATTGCTCTCCGATTAAGTGTAGAATGGCAAAAAAAAAAAAAATTCCGAAATTTGCCAAAATTTATCAAGAATTTTCTGAGAAGTGAGCTAAGCCACCATCCACAATACTTTCCTAAAATTTTCGCCTTCGGCTATTCAAAGTGAAAATCTCAGCGCACTTTTCTTTTTAAAAAGTTACTGTATGTGTATATTTCTTCATGGAAAAGTATGGCGCTTAGTTGGGATTGTTATGACCGGGCCCCATCATGAAATATCAAATGGAAACAACAATATAGTTACTGCTACTGATCTTTTCTCCTATTGAGCCATAGCAACGACTGTTCTAAATACGAGTTCCAAGTTAGAGCAGTAGCAAATAATTTGTACTCCGTTAAATGTCACCTTTGGCTGCATGGACAATACGATCAGCTACCACAGACGAGTTTTCGAAATGTATCATCAACAACCTGGTGGGGAATTTCCAGACCACCGCAATCCACAAATAAATGGACAACGGAAACGTGACAATCGAATACTCTAAGTCTAAGAAACTCTTGGTAAGCTTGTCAACGACAACAACAGAAACGTCTGGGACTGGTTCATGCCTGGTGTTCTGTTTGCCTGTCACATTTCCGTTCATGCCTCAACCAAGAGGTCATAATATATGTGGTGTGTGTGTATGGGGGGGGGGGGGCTTTAAAAAGACGGGCGACATTTTCGTTAAGCTGGAGGGTTTTTTCGTGGAAGGGGTCGGCAAAAAGCTTGGCTTGCCCCAGGCGGGAACCAACCCTAGCTACGCCACCGACTAGGTGTCTTCTGATTTTGACACACAGCATTCGTGGGAATTGNTAAAAATCCACTCAACAGTTAGTGTCTCTGCCAAAAAAAAAAAAAAAAAAAACCAACAGAAGCGTGCATTGATCGCATACACGAAAGCAACAAAGAAATCACTATTGGTTACGCCGTTAATATCAATAAATAGCGCATGGGTTTTAAGATGGTCCCTACCTGGTTGTACGCGTGGAGTCCTTGACCAAGAGACGAATAATTACATGTTTCCGTTAATGGATGTGAGGCTTGGGTAGCGGTAAAGGCTCCAAGGCAACCGTTTCGTCCCAGCTTTTCGTCCCCGACCGTAAGACTCCTTGGGCGGTGGGGTGGGGTGGTGATGCCCCACCATTTCCCCCGGAGTGGAAGCAAACACGCTTAAACCCTCTGGGAGAGTCGACTGTGAATGCTTTAAGCGCAGCGTGTTCGTTTGACCGGGCGTCCCTCAGGCCAGGGGGAGGTTCCCGGCATGCCACTGCATGGTCTGATGGTGTGGAAGGCATTAAGAACATGCGCTCGACGGCCCACCGACACCATTTCCCAATGTGACATAGAGGAACGCATAAGGAAATTATATTTATATAGCTCATATAAGAAAAAACGAATTTAGGGCTCCCGACCGCAAACGGAATATTGTAAATGGTTTTACTATATTAAAAACTTCTTGCTATGTCACACACAAAATGAAATGTCGCTATTTGTATTTGATTAAAATTCTATCCAACCATGTATTAGCTGTGTTTAAATTATATTTATGTAGCTTATAGCCTATAAGAAAAAACGAATTTAGGGCCTCCGGCCCAAAACGGAATATTATAAAATGGGTGTACTAATTCAGAAACCAAAGTTTTATCACAATCGGATGAATTGATGAATGGTATAGGAACGCATACGGATAATTTCTTTAAATATCTCATATAAATAGTAAAGGAACAAAAAATAAATCTAGGGCCCTCGGCCTCAAACAAAATGGAACATTGTAAAATGTTTGTAATAATCCATAACAATTCGCGGGCGTGTGGCAAACAACTCAGTTATATTTCATCGCAATCGGATGAATGGTATAGGAGCGCATACGGGACATTATAATACATACATACAAACAGACATTCCTTTATTTAAATATATATATAATATTAATAATATATAAATAGATAAAGCGCGACATTACTGAGACTGCCATTACATTTAAATAATCAACTAATTTATAAGATTTTAATAAGTCGGTTCCCTTGGCTCGTTTCCTGTCATAGCTCATTTTTAAATACGGGAAGAAGAGGGTGGGCGAAAAGATAATCAATCGTGGAAATTGAGGAACGTTTATATAAATGATTTATTGAGGATTACAAACAAATCTTAGGATATTGATTTTACGAAATCCTAACTCATAGTTAACGAATACACAAATGAATACAAATCTAAGGGTGAAGTACATTATTTTCATTTCCGGGTTAAAGGTTTTCTACCAACAAAAAAAAAAAGATAAGTTTTTTAATACATAACTATTCCATTTCCATGGTTCATGCATAAGAATAAGAGTAAGCCTGAGAGGATGTCTTCATTCCTGAACTCAATGTTTTGCTTTGAAGCGCTATATTTTGTCATCTATTCAGGTATAAAAGCATCCACTCTTAGTATAATTATAATGAACAGTATAAATAAAATCATCAAAATTACAAGTCAAGTTAGTCACTGGTCAGTTATTAACTGATCAATTAGTTAGTCATTGTGACTTGTGATGGTCTCTTGATTAAAAAAAAGTAATGTAGGTAAATTTTGACTACGATTGCCACTATTTTCTCAATGGCTGCCATCTTGGTTAAAATGTCACGTGAAGTCATCTATCCCTATGCCTAACCTGAACCCTAAATTGATGGCCGCCATCTTGGTTAACACTTCACGTTAAGTCATCTATGCCTAACCTGAACCCTAATCGATCCCAATGAGTACTATGACCTATGCCTAACCTGAAACACTAAATCGATCCCTATGCCTAACCTGAACGCAAAATTGATCCCTATGCCTAGCCTGAACCATAAATCGATCCCGAACCATAAATCGATCCCGAACCATAAATCGATCCCTAAAATAATTTAGTAAAAATAAAGAAAGGGAAGTCACTCCCTGGAAAATAATTCGTGGCAACCGTAACTAGGATTAGCCGTAATGTATAATCTAAGTATGATTTTCATTTTAAAATCATTTTAAAATGATTTTCTTAAAAAACTGACTTGAAAAATATTGCTTTCTTTCCTTTATTAATTAATAAAAGTGAAAAAATCTCGTAGCATAATATTTTACGAGATGTTCTCACTTTTTTTGGCCCGCCCTGTATATACAAACACGTTCAATACTTCATCTAATATCAGTTCAGTAAATCCATCATAAGAATCCAAAATGTCCTCTCACATCAAATTTATCACGTCACTTCTACTCTACATATAAAATTTAAAACTCTAATTCTCCTTCTGCTACAAAAACTAGTTCCCTTTTCTTGTGTTATTCATTCTTCCATCTCAAATCACTACACCATTGTGCTGTGAGAATAAATATTAGTGTCGTGTGAAAAATCTGTGTCATATGCATGATTAACATTGTCTGTTACACTTTTGCTTATAGAAAATAGTGTTGTCCCATTTCACAAATTGAAATGAGATATCCGATACTCTATTAATAAAAATTTTGAAATGATAGCAAAACTTATTGAATTTACGTAATTCCCCAATTATTAAATAACTAGGCTGCTGTACAATGTTTTTTTAAATTAAAAAAAATTAGAACAATTTTCACTTGAACTAACTTCCATGTGAATCAATTTCTCCCTTTCCAGCTCACACCTAAAAAGTGTAAATACAAAAAACAAAATTCAAACAAATTTCCATTCGACCAAGCTTCATTCAAATTTTCATTAATCAAGTTTATTTTAAATTTCCAGATACGGTTATTAATTCATCATAATTGAAATAAATGTGACATTGGAAAATAATGAATGCCCTTTTGTCACTATATATCGGTATAGGGTGGAGAAAGAAAAATCATGGTGTTTGGTCAATGGGTGCGAATATTTTAAAACAGAAAATTTTGAAAACTTCCACAGTCACATAAAAAAAGGCAATGTTACCTTCTTAATAATTGTTGAGCCACATCATATTTTTATTTTTGTCTTTATTTGCACTGTTTGTGTTTGTTTGTTCACAGATGCAATGCAAGTGTGAATACCTGCCACAAGAAACTTATTGTTTGTTAATAAAATGAATAAAAAATAAAACTTGAGGTGGTTCTTATAAAAGACCACAATAAAGAATATTAGAAGTGTGATACTTTAACAGGGCACGTCAGCTATGTCAGGCTTTAACCATCACAATGAGTCCATAATTTATAGGTAAAAAAAATGTGGTTCTATTGTTAAAGTTCAGTATTGTAAAAAAAATTTTAATAACTGGAATGTGAAAAATGAAACAACAATCTTTATATAGCTACATATATACAATTAATTCTGCTGATGTAATTTGCTTAAATATACAAACCTCTTCTGGAGACAAATCAAACATCAGTATACAAACATATTTTTAAAAATGTAAAAGTTGGTTTTGTTTCAGAGTTTTTTTTGAATAGCTACAGTTAAAGTCTCATCTCTTTTTATTGTAAAGAAAATAATATAATCATCAATTAAAATCATTTTAGATGTATGTCTTATTAATGGGGCAAGAATAAGATATTAAAAAATTGAGTTAAAACTATTGTTTATAATAGATGGGAGACTGAGCTCCCAAAGTCTACAGTTTATTGGATGCTGATAGCTATTGGAGCAGCACAGGCATGGACTATATACCTTACCTATTACAACAGTCGAATCCTGGGCTTAATTACTACTGCAATAATCAACAATTTTTTCAAAATTGGACACATCAAACTTGGTAAGGCATCTAACTAAAATTTAATACATTAAACTTGGTAAGTTATCTAATTAAAAAATAAACCATTAACCCTCTTTTTTAACCCTCTTTACATTAACTTTCAGATTACTGTAGTAATGTGTTATAGATTTTTTTTATCTTGCTCAAGATTAAAAAAGCTTTGGATCATAGGAGATAGTCCGTTTCCTTATTATTGTTTCATAATGTGCATTGAATGTATTGTTATTTAATTACAGACTGTATTTCTAAAATCCTTGGCATCTTCTAGGTTCTTTCTCATTCTCTGTGCTATCTGGAAAGGTAATGTTTCGTGATGTCCATCTGATCACTGAGGATTTTTCAATTAGGGCAGAGTATGGGTGGCTGATATTCAGATGGTGGAGGCCATATGTTTATAAAGAATTAACTGAAGGTGTGTAAATAGTTGTTTCATACAAAGTTTTTTTTTTGCTGTACCCGCAATAACATGCTGTTATGAAGAGGTATATACAGCTTGTACTTAAGTGGATCAATAACATTTATTCTTGCTGTAAAATATCTATTTCACATAGTTATTGTGAAGAAAATATATATTTGTAGGAAAAATGTTTAATTGCCAGATTTATCACACCTGGAGACTAGAATGTCCATTTTTTTGGATGGCTTTGAGTTCCATGTTTACAACAAGTCTCAAGTTTATGGTCGGCTAGAAAAGTTATTCAAGGGTGAAAATGCTGAAGAAACAGATGAAAATCCACCAGATAACACTAACAACAAGAAAAGATGCTCGTATGTATTATAATCCTTTTTACTTTTGAAGCAGTTTTGCATTGAAAATGACATTGCAATATTTAACAATCGATTTTTGATGTCACTAAATAAATTATTTTGAGTTGAAGTATAGTATATACACATTCTAAAACCTGTTCATTCATTATATATTATCCTCAATTCAAAAGAACCCCCCGCCCCCCTTTCATTCCCTATTCCCTTCCCCTTCAGTTTTGGCCTGGAAAAGCCTGAAGGGTATAACCCTGCTCATAAGCTGACCCCATAAAACAATATTCAATTGTGAGCAATACAAAGAAAATTTTAAAAAAAAATCCAGACTTAAAAATAATAATTGTTTTTAAGTAAAAGACTTTAAAACTAATAAACATATGATAGACTAGGATTTTTACTATCTGCAATGACAATTTCATAATGCAAGGTATGCATTTTAATACTTTATAGCTTATACATATAATACTTTATCAAAATACTCTTTTAAATTATTTTGTATTAATCCTATTTTATGGTCAGCATTTTTTGTAGAATTTTTGTTGTTGATAATTTTGTGTGTGATTCAGCCTTATGTATGATTATTATCCACAGATTAAAAGATATACATTGGAGAGATTTAATTCCAGTAACAAAAATTGAAATAACCTCTGTAAGCATTTCATTTGTATTTTCACTTTTAAACCTCTTTGTGTAACATTTGTGGATTTTTTAAAATTTATATCTGACTTATTAAAAATTATGCTGTGACACTATACGAGTCATTGAGGGAGTTCTCATCTGATCATGTCATCAAATGAAAAATTTTTAGAATTGGGCAAGTGAAATGAACCCAACTGGATAAAAATTCCAGGTGCTAACATTGATGCCGTAGTGAAACATTAAAAGATTGTGTGCTATATTTTTAGGGATTACAAAAAGATTTTTTTTTAAATGGCATTTTTTTTTTCAAGCTCTCACTGCCCTAATAAATTCCTAGACATTTAACTAATGCAAAGAAAGGATAATTGGCTTATGAATAGTATTTATTTGAAAAATATCTGTGAATCTTCAGGGTCGTTGGATATTTGGAAATTACCTAATGCCATATAGCTGTCTTCTAAAATTTGACAAATCCAACATGGTGTACACAACAAAGCCTGCATCTACAGTTTTTGATCAATTTATGCACATCCTCAAGTGTGACATGGAGAATGCCAGGATCATGCTTGTTCCTAGTCCCAAGTACAACGGCCCTGTACAAGATGAGTAAGTTTTTTTTTTAGGTCATTCTTAATCATAAATCCATCAAAGTCAACTTAATTACATTTTTTTTTCTTTTCAATATTATCAATTTGGTATATTATATAGTATATAATAATAAAGTTTTTGTTTCAACTTAGATTTTTAAATTATTTTTTTCTTACTCGAAATTTCATTTATTATTTGCAATACATTTGCTCTAAAGGCCGCCACGCTTCATGGGTGAAGGCTTTGTTGTCATGCTCTCCAATCATGTAGATATCTACTATTATCAAGATGAACCTGGTGAGTCCAACTACTGTTTTTAAATTTTTGTTCTAATTGCTACGCAGCTCATCACTTCCTACTTTCATTGTGTTTTATAAATTAGTAATGATGCTAATAACAGAAAGGTTTTAATATAATCTTTGGTTTTAGCTTAGAATAAAGTTATGGTTTCTTTTAATAGAGAGAAATGAGTAATGTGAACTATTGTAAATATCTTGTAGTGTAATTTCCTTGATTTATAAAATAGTTTAAAACAATTGTACGATAGGTTTATAAAAATATATTACAGAAATTAAATTGACTTTTAATTGCAAGTACTCTTTGTAAGTCAAAATATCAAATGAAAACAAACTAAAGTAGCTATAATTAATAACATTACTCATACTGTTGGAAAGACCTTAAATGTGCATTTTGATAATTGTTTAAAAAAACATACGCTATTTTTAAAAAAAATTCAGGCATTGTTCAACATGAACTAGAGCAAATTCAGATGGCGGATGGGGAAGTTCTGATCAAGAGGACATATCCTTGTATTGGTGTGGACATCAAATGTGGCAAAAATACAGATTTCAACTATGGGCCATGGGTGGACAGACAAAGGTTACTAGTTATTTTTGGACATAGATTTTAACTATGGGCCGTATGTGGGCCAACAAAGGTCTTTAGTTATTGTTGGGCATAGATTTCAACTATAGGTAGTCAGACAAAGGTCACTAGTTGTTATTGGACATAGATTTCAAGTATGGGCCATGGGTGGACAAAGTTCTCTAGTTATTGGACATAGATTTTATCTATGGACAGTTGGTGAACATGAAAAGGTCTCTAGTTATTATTTCACGTTATATATAATCTATTACCATGTATCTTAAATTCGTAACTGTAAAAATATGTGTTTTGCTTTATAATTACTTGCTTATTTCTCCCACTGGTGTTCAAATATTAAAATGACTCATGGCCATAATTCTTAATAAAATTCACCTGAATGCTTTTCTTTCAGGGAACTTATTTGGTCATTTTTCTTCCCACCTGATTACCAGCCATTGGTCCCCACTAAAAGAGCAGAGCCAGGGGAGAAACGACAGTTCAAATCACTGGAAGTCAAGATGACCATCAACGCTATCTCAGCAATTGATATTCTATTCACCAAAAATTCGGTAAGTTTTAAAATTATTTTTGTTTAAATCTAATTCTGTAGTTGCTTAGTAGCAATTTGATGGAAAACTTTGAAATAAAAAAACCCCACTATTACAAGTAATAATTTCACAATGTTTTTATGTGTAGAATTTATAATTTAAGGAGTTCATTGTTATATTTATATTTTTTTATTGTTTTTAAAAAAATAATTTACTTTTTCCTCTAGAACAGGGGTGTCAAACTCAAGCCCTCTGTGCGCCAAAACTTAAAATCACATGTAAGGTTGCCGGCCAAAACTTAAAATCACATGTAAGGTTGCCGGCCAAAACTTAAAATCACATGTAAGGTTGCCGGCCAAAACTTAAAATCACATGTAAGGTTGCCACCAAAACTTAAAATCACATATAAGGTTGCGGGCCAAAACTTAAAATCACATGTAAGGTTGCCGGCCAAAACTTAAAATCACATGTAAGGTTGCCGGCCAAAACTTAAAATCACATGTAAGGTTGCAGGCCAAAACTCAAATCACATGTAAGGTTGCCGGCCAAAACTTAAAATCACATGTAAGGTTGCAGGCCAAAACTCAAATCACATGTAAGGTTGCGGGCCAAAACTTAAAATCACATGTAAGGTTGCGGGCCAAAACTCAAATCACATGTAAGGTTGCCGGCCGAGCAGGATAAACATTCAATAAGCGGAAAATTAATCTTTTTTTAAAAAACATTTATATAAATGAAAACAGAAAAAAAGCTTTAATAATTAAAAATCATTGGCATACCCATTTTTGTTGTTACGCCAATTTGTCAGAGCTGGATGTTTGGCACATTTTCGTAGCTACAAAAACGAGAAAGTTCGTTTATATGTTGTGAGTAATGTTCTGTGTCATTGAGATTCTCATGATGGACTGCAAGTCTTCATCAGTGAGATGACTCCTGTGTCATGTTTTGTTAATCTTGATCACAGAAAACAGCTGCTCACACATATATGTGCTACCCAACATGCTCAAGGTTCGAGCCGCATGTAGATGAAGCTGGGGCATCTCTTCAGGAATGAAACGAGTGAACTGTGCAGGCCCAACTGTGTCCTACTTTGCCTTTAGTGTCCTATTACACTGCAGCTCTATTAGCTCCTTCTGCAAATTTACAGGTGCAGTTTTCACGTCTATGACAAATGGGTTATGAAATGGCACAAAATTACATTTCTGTGATTCAAAGTCACTAAAATGCCATGCAAACTCGGTGCGAAGTAAGCTAAGTTTTTCAGCAATGTGTGCATTGAGAAACACCATAGCGTTGACTTGGATATAATTGTACGCCGGTCAAACCTTGCTAGCCTGATATAATTGTACGGTGGCCCACGATGAACCGCAGGCCTTGAGTTTGGCACTTGTGCTCTAGAACATAAAACAAGATATTTTTTATTAAGAAATTGTCCATAATCGCTAGAGGTAGATAATAGCTCTTTTCATTTAAGAGTTTTTTTTAAATACCCTTTTGATTAAATTTGAAAATAAATAATTCTTCTTTGATTGATAGGTAACACAGGCCCTCCATATGAATGCAGGGAAAGGTTCTTATGTAGAAGTCACAATACCTTACATCATAGAGGAAAATGGGTTTATATCAAAGGTCAAAGGTCAGCTCATGTTAGTGGATGCAACAACTAGTATGCCATTCAGGTCACTTCTGGAATGTGAAACTCTGGAGGTAAAGGAATTCTTTAAGTAGCTTCAAGGCTAAAATATCAACATTTCATAATTAAATTGTAATCTCTTAACAACTGTAAAGGAAAATTTTATGTTTAAAAAGTTTCTTAAAATGATTTTTATTGAGTTATTATTATATAGAGTTATTCTTAAACTGAGCTTAAATAATATAGTTATTTGATGTTTACTTTCAGTTTGATGTAACAGCCTCTTACCCAAAGGAGTGGAATGCTTGTCAAGAATGGAGATGCGATCTCACAGCCTGCAAGGCTTTGGTTTACCTCATCTATGATCTTAAGCAGTTTTTCTCAGGTCTGAAAATGTCTAGTCAACTTACATCTCATGCCAGATTTTAAATAAGTGTGTTAAAAATGAGTTACTAAAACATTAAATTCCAGCTCATTGTGTAGCTTGTAACCACCCTCTGTACCAGACAAAATAGTGAGAAAAACAGGCGAGCTGAAATGTGCACATATAAAGAGGACACATGAAAATGAATATTACTGAACATATTCACAAATGACACCACAGTAATAAAAAATAATTGAACCTTCATCTTACTCATGCCCCACAGAACACCAACCAATTTGAATGTTGACTAGTTTCATTTCTCAACATTTGATTGATAAATTGTTCAGCAAAAATTAAAAAAAATATTGTAAAAACTTATAGCTCTTCAAATACATTATTTGATGGTAATAGAATTGAGATGCATCTAGTTTCAAAACTAAATAATAAGAAAAGCAATCCTGAAAACTAAACTAAAAATCATTAGAATATTGACTCATAGATTCAGGGACAGACTAGCATCACTTTTGTGGCCAAAGGGTTTGATGGCAACAATTACTCACCAAAAAAAACACATCATAATTTTCCCTTGTGAAATGTTTTTAAAAAAAAAAAAAAAAAAAAGAAAAAAGAATTTGTTTTAATTTTATTTCTTCAAGTATATCTAGAATGCATTGAGTAAAGATTAAATTCATCAATTTATAATGAAGTAAAAACAAAACTAAATTTTTTTCAAGGCGGCATTGAGACTTCTTGAGATTATTTTTTTTTTGAATGAAAAAAAATGTAATCTTGTTTGAATTCTTTCACGAGTGTAAAGATTCTTAGATGCATATTTATTTTGATCACCACAGATCTTGTGGGTGACTGGTCATCAAAATCAGCCCCAGACATATACAAATTTGTTCCTTATACTTGGACACTCAGTCTGATCGTCAAACAGTTTGAAATCCTTACATTGGCTAATGAAAACAACTGGGTTGACACCTCATCACAACATCAAGAAAACGGTTAGTTACTTGTGATTTTTTTTTGTGACGGCTCATAGTATTAGGAATGTTTTGGTTCTTCAAATCAAACAACAGAAACATGAAAGTGCTTCAGAGTTAGGAGTTAAACTTTTAAGTAGTCGAGAGCATATGTTCAATGAGCGTTAACATTCCTATTTGCAGCTCACATTGCCTTCTGTGGAGAGCTGTTTGATCTCTGTGTCACCTTCCCATTCACTGACTTTGTTCCTGCCACAACTCCCATTAACCTGGTCATCAAGGTAATCACATTCTGACCTCCTCAGCTTAATAATGCTTTCACTGATTTGCTTTTGTTCTCAGATTTTCTTTGTATACACACATTTAAAATGAAATAGTAATCTTACATCAGAGGGTCATCTTACTTTAGAGGGTCATCTTACTTTAGAGAGTGTCATGATTTAAAATTAACCTACTTTTGTTGTTCATGTTACTACTTTGATCTGAAACTTCCATGATTATTTAAATTTAAAATGATTTCAACCCAAAATAAATAACCTCTAGGAATGGTTGCATCTCAAGATCAACATTGCAAAGAAAATTTACCAAAGCAGCAAATGCAAATTTTAAACTAAGATAATTATTATTATTATTAGTGGTCTTGTATAGCGCGGAACCCCAGCCTAGGGCTGGGCTCACCGCGCTGTGCATAAAAATATTAGCAAAAGAGACATAATCGTGACATTAAAATAAAATACATTTATGTAATGAAGAACATCTGCTTAACAACAAAACAAAAACAAATGTATATCAAGCATAATAATAAAAAACCTCACTAAGTTACTGATAAGATAGGACAGATTTGAGCATTAAGTTTTGACCTGCTATATTTGTGCTGCTATTTCCATAATCAAGTTTTAAACAGTTACTTAAAGCATGGAGTTTTCTGCTTCCCAATTTCACCACACATATTTAAGTAATATTAATTAATTTAAGTTTCATAAAAGTTAATACACCTGTGTGTTACAGGGTGAAACAGTCTTTTGCCGTCTGTACCTGCCAGAAAGTAACACAATGAGACATGCTCTGATAGCCATGTCTGAAAACATTAGAATCGTGGACAGAGAAGGTCATGAAACGGGAGAAACTTTCTTGGCAAGTAACAACAAAGAATGGAGAAATGCCACCTTAAAAAGGTAATATTTTCAAGGCATTCTTGGCTTATCATAACAGTGACACAAACATTGAATCCAAAGCTTGGCCCAACCTTGGTGTGCCACATCTGAAAATAAATAAGAAACTTGTTCATATTTCTGTTTCAAAGCTAAAAAGAAAAAGTTAACAATTTTTTTAAGGGATATGAGTCTGATGACAATTGAATGTTGGATTTAAGCAGTTGCTTCTGCAATTAAAAAATGAAAGTACATTTTTCCTACTTATTTTGACTGCAAGCCTCATCCTCATTAGAATTACACGTAGAAACAAACTAGAAAATTTGAATTGTATAGGCTGGCTAGAGAAGTCAGAGGCTGGTTAGTGCAGTCAGAGGCAGGTTAATGAAGTCAGAGGCTGGTTAGTGAAGTCAGTGGGTCTTCAAGTTCATATGACGGGGTCATTTTATAAGATCCACTTATTCCGATTTTGTTTATGAACAAGGGAGAACAGTGTTGCTAAAATTGCATTATTTAAAGTAAATCTGCTAGTAAAAAAGTAAGATAAAAGTTTTGACCTGAAAAAAAAACTAATTTTTATGTTGTTTTTTTCTTATGCTCAGCAATGGTTGGGTGGACTGCTGGACCACACCCTATGTTTTCCTGACCGTGACCTACACTTACTATCCCATGCCAGTGTTGCTGTCCCAGACTCCCACAGACCACATAGCCCACTACAGTCTTACTGGAGATTTCATGGAAGAAGAGGCCAACCTCTTCCTGCAGCCAGGAACATCTCATCAAGGAAACAACACCACGGGTCATGACAGACCATTTGACCCAGGAGAAATGAAGCCTGACCTTATCCAGGTGGAGCTGGAGGTAGCACCATCCACTTTGGTCTTGTATGGCTCTCTTTTGAGGAATTTGATCCATCTAAAGGTAACTTTGATGCAAAGCAATAATTTCCTAGCCATATGATACAAAAGCTAGTGTAAGAAAAAAATAATTTCTACAAAGACAATGTGTAATATTAACACTGAAAAATACAGCTCACATTTAAAATAGTTTTTAGATTTGTTTTAGCATTTTTTCAATTTTTATTTTTTTTCTCTGTACATGTTACTGTTAGTAGTTACCAGTCTTCATAGAATTAATAAGTTTACTTAAGAAGTTTTTTTTTAGCGAACATGTATCACTGTTTTTTCTGATCCTTCAAGTAAATACATGTATTGTAGTTTTTGTTTTGCAATCTACAATTTGAAGTGTGAACCATTTAAAAAAAAATCATATAATTTAATGTGTTGCTCTATTTAATTTCTCAACATCATGCAGGAAAACTATTTAGGTGAGTTCCAGAAGGCTACAGACTTTGAAGAAAACCCCAATAAAATGAAGGATGTGGAGTCCAGCTATGTCCATGTAGATAATCCAGATAATGATGAGAAAACATTTGATGCCAGGATCTATCGTCCATTCTCTGTGACAGTTTCAGTGACACTGCATGACATTCAGGCACATTTAGCCAAAGTAAGTCAATTTCTTAAGTCCCAGGCTACGACATCTTTAGAATGATGACAGTCCCAGTATAATTTATTTACTGAATTTTCTTCTTTTTTTTTTTTTTTTAAAAGGGGGAATAACTCACTGTTCTGCTCATAAAAAAAGTATTTATATCACTGCAATTTTTAAAATCTCCAAAAAGTCATGAAAAATATTCTGTTGGAAGAAAGTCAGTTTCTTCATTCATCTCTTGTTATAAAAAGGGGAGGGGGAAAAAATATTGGAAACTTACCATTTTTTTTTTAATTGACTTGCATTATTTGCAAAGACATTTCACAATTCTATAGAGAAAACCCTTGAGGCTGTCTGATACAGAATGTACTAATTCAATTATCTTTCTTCAACAAATGTAGAACTGCAATTTTGATGATCAGCCATGTCCTAGTGCCTATGTGGAGAGACTTTGTTTTGAAATGGACAAGTCATTTAGAGAGACCAAACTTCAACTGCTCTTATCACCTTGTGTATTGTTAGCTAAGGATGGAATTGTGGTAAGTAAAATATGTTTGATACTTTCAATTTTTTTCTTTACTCTCTAGTTCAACGGTGCTTAAATATTCCATAGAAAAAATTGGATTTGCATTAAATCAGTCTAAGAAATGTGTGATTATAAAATGTTAGTCTAAATATTCTAAATGTTCAGGGTGTCCCTGACGCCTGGACAAGGTCACAATGCATATTTTCAAATAAATTATTTCAACAACATTTGATATCTTTACTTCATAACGTTTTCAATGGTATTTCCACCATTTGTGATCCAAAGTTCTATGTGCTTTGCAAGATTCACATGTACCCGATGCAGCAACTCCACGCTTCCATCAAATTCAGCAAATCCTATGTGTCCAGTCTTTAGGGACACCCTGTATATATTTTAATATTTATGTTTTATTTAATTTGGGTAATTTTCTGCTGGATATGTATCTGTTGTGGCATTTTTTTTTGCACAAAAATATTATCACAGCTGTTGGATCAAAAATGAGATCAAAGCTGTTTGATCAAAGATGTTAACACAGCTGTTTTATAAAAAAATGATATCACAGCTGTGTGATCAAAAATGCTATAACTATTTGATAAAAGATCATATCACAGTTGTTTCACCAAAAATCATATCACAGTTGTTTTATAAAAAATATCACAGCTTTTTTACCAAAATTGATATTACATGTGTTTTATCAAAAATTATATCACAGTTGTTTGATTAAACACTTTTCAGAGAGATTCAGATCAAGACCACCTGAAAGATGGACATTTAGCATTGTCTGGACTCCAGGTGCGTGGCCATGCCATGTTCTCTCTTGAAGGTCTTCCCTTGGATAGTGAAACAATTGAGTATGGATGGCTGCTGGAGATCATCATTGGGGAACTAACTGGCAAACTGACAACACCTCAGGTAATGTCCAATATAAAGTGATAATTAATATCTCAACAGACAAATTGAGATCTTGTCTCAAGAAATATGTACGTGATACTTTGTCTCATGTAACATATGTTTGCTTCTTTGTCTAATATCAATGATAGAAAATACTTTGTCTCATTTAATGCATTTTGCAAAATGAAATATTGATCATGTATGAGCTGAGTATATAAAGAAATCATTCATTTTTCTTAAATTTCTTGGGTAAATTCTTTAAATGTTGCAAAACCTTTGTTAGACTAAAAGAAACAGTTGGTTGTGCTATGTAAATATATTGAAGTTTAATCATCTTAAGTTGGCTGATAAATTGAGCAAGAGTTTTTTTAACTTGAATTAAAGTTAGAACTTTTTACAATAATTGTTAAAATTTCTTATTTCCCTTACAGCTCCAAAACATAGCAGAATTTCTTCAGACCTTTATAATGATGATTGAGAATGCAGAAAACAAACTGCAGACTTCTCAGACACACACAAAATGTCAGCACATGGAACCGCAGGACTCGTGCTATGAGTCAAAGAACTTGCCCTTTCTGTGTCCAAGTTCAGAGGATGTCAAATATGAAATGACTAGGGTCTCTGTGGATTTTGTTAACATTTTCCTGGTGGAGTCTTACTCGGCACTCAATGTTCAGGTACTGACATTATTACCTCCCATAATCAGAACATCCCATGTTCAAGTACTGACATTATTACCTCCCATAATAAGAACACTCCGATGTTGGAGTACTGACATTATTACCTCCAATCATAAGAAAACTCCCATCTTCATTTGCTGACATTACTACTCCCATAATAAGAACACTTCCATGTTCAATTGCAGACATTATTACCTCCCATCATAAGAACTTTCATTACTTATTAACAGATAATTAGATATTAACAGATTATTAGCGTCGTCTGCAAACTGTTGGAGCACATAATCGTAAGCACTGTCATGAAGCATCTTGAAAGCCAAAATATACTCAATGACTGTCAACATGGCTTCCGAGTCAATAGATCATGTGAGACCCAGCTTCTCGAATTTGTAGAAGACTTGATGACCAATCTGGAGAACCACAAGCAGACTGACGTGCTAGTAATGGACTTCGCAAAAGCATTTGACCGGGTGAATCATAGTTTGCTTCTACACAAACTCCAGATATATGGGATTCAAGGCACCACTAAAACATGGATCTCTAGCTTCCTCAGCCACCGACGCCAAGCAGTAGTGGTGGGCGGTACAAGCTCCTCCTTTGTCAATGTGAAGTCAGGGGTCCCCCAGGGATCAGTCCTGGGCCCCTGTTTGTTCCTAGCATACATTAATGACCTACCGGAGAAACTGACATCACAGGCAAGACTGTTTGCAGATGACACAGCAGTGTATAGGACGATCGCCAACAGATCTGACCAGGACCAGCTACAACAGGATCTCAATCTGTTAGCTGAGTGGGAGATGAGCTGGGACATGGAATTTCACCCTGCCAAGTGCCAGACACTATCAATCTCTAGAAGTTGTACTCCTCTACACTACCAATACAAACTGCACGGCCATATTCTTGAGCAAGTTTCCTCCGTAAAGTACCTGGGTGTTACCATTCAAAGAGAGGTCCGCTGGGACGAGCATATTAACAATGTATGTAACCAAGCAAACCAAGCCTTGGGGTTCTTAAGGCGAAATCTAAAGATTGGCAACTCCTGTGTGAAAGAAAGAGCATATAAAGCCTTTATCCGTCCGATTTTAGATTATGCATCTTCAGTCTGGGACCCATTTACCCAGAAGAGCATTGACAGGTTGGAGGCGGTCCAGCGACGAGCAGCACGCTTTGTCCTAAACCGCTACAGGAATACCTCTAGTGTTGGCAGCATGCTAGAAACACTAGGCTGGTCACCATTGGAGAAACGACGACGACAATCCAGGCTCTCCATGATGTACAAGATAAATAATGGGCTGGTCCACTGTTCCAGTATTAAACAGAAACTCGTCCCTCTCCCCCATAGACAGCGACGAGGCCATGACAGGCAATTCAGGCTCATACCAGCAAGAAGCCAGTATAGGAGCAGCTCATTCCTGCCCAAGACAATCAGGGACTGGAACCATCTTTCAAAAGGAACAGTTGAGGCGACAACACTAGACACATTTGTGTTTATTCATTTGTGTCTATTGCCTCAAGCCTTCAAACCCCTAGTGCATAATTTCCTCATCACCACCAGTAACAGAAACATTGCAAATCCCATCTACATGCATAGGAGCCAAAATGATCAATAAATTGATCGTGGGCCCTTAAGATATAGAAGAAGAAGAAGAAGATAAGTTCATGTTTTTCTGTAACCAATCGTGCAGATCCAATGTATTACATTTTCTTTCCTTCAGGCATAAAGCTATCAAGGCCATTGTTCCCCTTTCAGTTTTAGTTATCTTTAAAACCATATTGCCCATGATAAAGTTTCAAATGTCAACCTGTTTAGGAGTTATAATCTGTAATTGAATATCATTGTCAGAGCAATAATAATGAATTAATATTTTTCATCTTGGCTCATTTCTTTGTTATGGCATGGGTGGCAGTTAACTGTTTGAATGTCATCACATGGGTGGCAGTTAACTGAATGTCATCACATGGGTGGCAGTTAACTGAATGACATCACATGGGTGGCAGTTAACTGAATGTCATCACATGGGTGGCAGTTAACTGTTTGAATGTCATCAACAGGTTCACCCTGTTCGCATTGCCAACTGTAACCTTCATGGTCCCAGCACACGAGCAGGTATAACAGGTATGATTGAAAAGGTAGAGCTGAAGCAGTATGTGTCCTGCATGTCATCCAAGCACAATCTTCACAACTGGCTGGAAGCAGGGGGCCTGAGCCTGGGGCCACTTATGTTAGAAGCTGCCATGGCTTTAGCTCACAACCAGCTATATCAGGTACTTGGACCTAAACATTTAAAAAAATGTTTTTATTTTTATTTTTCTTGTGAATGGTGGGGGTAGGGGGGTAGTGGACTTATACTAGGTGGGGTCTAGTACACTTGCACTAAGTGGGGTTAGTACACTTGTACTAGGTGGGGTTAGTACACTTGTACTAGGTGGGGTTAGTACACTTGTACTAGGTGGGGTTAGTACACTTGTACTAGGTGGGGTTTAGTACACTTGTACTAAGTGGGGTTAGTACACTTGTACTAGATGGGGTTTAGTACACTTATACTGACTTGTTTTTAGGTTTAATACACTTGTACTAGGTGGGGTTTAGTACACTTATACTAGGTCATTGTACAGAACAAAAAGTGGCAACTCTTGTGGATACTTAAATGTTATTAGTATTGATTTTGTTTACAGCCAATGTTTCTTCTGTGATACAACAGCCTGGGTCAGAGCCATCTATGGGTGAAATTTGGCACAACTGCCTGCCTCTTTATGAAATGTTGTGGGTTGGAATTTTGACATGGGTCAGACCCAGCTATGGGTAAAAAAAACAGGTGAAAGGAACTCATTATCCAAATTGCGCAAATATTCTTGAGGAAAGGATAAACCCTCATTAATAAGAAACCTCAAAATACAAAGTTGGGAGACAGCAGCCAACTTGGCGTGAGAGTAAAGCTTGTCTGTCTATAAATAAACCAAACAAAATGGAGAAGAAATCAGCAGTGTACTTGTGATGCACCTCGAACAAGTGTCCGTGTCTGTAATTAATGTTGAGCAGATTTTAATTAAAAAAATTTTTGATTTCCCTTCAAATAAAATATTTACATATTTTTCCTCAGAACCAAAACAAGTTTTTAAGACTTCATGACGCCAAGACCAAACGCTTGTGGTTCTTGTGGAACGACTGTGAGACCCCATCTCCACCCCCGCCTTCTGTTAGCGGCAAATGTGGATGCCTCGGAGGATGTGCATTTTTTGGCAAAAACAAGAATGGCTTATCTTTCTTCAAACTAAAGCGACAAAGGGAAGGGACTCATTTTGTTGCAATACCTCAGGTAAGTAATCCATAACATTTAGTAATGTAAAAGAAAAAATTAAAAAAATCTTCATAAAACTACTCAAGAAAATTATGCAGCCCATACTAAATGTAGATGTCTGCCTTGCGTTAAGATTTGTCAAGATGGCAGCGACCCAGGGTTTGGACAAAGCTTATTGCATGCTGGCAAGCTTGTGTTTGAGACCAGCCAGTTGGCACTGCGGATGTCACCTGTCAAAACTTGCGGGGACATCAATGGATTCTCCTTTACCAGGGGATACATGAGTGAGCTGGCCAGCCCTACTGGCGATGAACAAGGTTTTTACTCTTTTTTAAAATAGACCTATTTGAATGGTTTTCCTACGCGATATAACTTCATTTGTTAACTGTTTACTTATTTGAAAGGGCATAAATCTTTTGATTTTTTTACGACCCGCAAAAAAAGGATTATAAAATTATTTTGCAATTGTGAGTTCATATTAAGAAATCTGAAAGCCTACTTGTACATATTTGACTTAGTTTGTGAAGTAAGCTTTTATATTTATTTTAATGTCTCAAAAAGAAAAAAAAAAGGGGGGGGGGAGGGATAGAAAATGTAATACATATGTTGCTTTAAAGCCTTAATGACTTTTTAATCAGATGGTCCTCATGAAACATATTAAGAAATCTGAAAGCCTACTTGTACATATTTGACTTAGTTTGTGAAGTAAGCTTTTATATTTATTTTAATGTCTCAAAAAGAAAAAAAAAGGGGGGGGGGAGGGATAGAAAATGTAATACATATGTTGCTTTAAAGCCTTAATGACTTTTTAATCAGATGGTCCTCATGATACTCCTTTGGATGACATGCGACCTAAATCAACCTTTAGTGACACTCAGATGCTGTTGGCTGGCAGCAGGCTCGGAGAAGCAAGGCGTTTCAGCAAAGAAAGTTTACTGACAAGACAAAGTTCATTGCCCTCAGCAGATAAGATAGGAGCAGCTCCTCAGCCCCAGCCTGGTGTTGGTAAGGCAACTGAATCATCTTAGGTATATGTCACGGCCTTTGGTTTTTATGGGCCAGCGGGGGAATATTGTCTCCTACAGGCGAGAAAAGACATAATTTATAATGAACATTTTATTTTTGATGTAACATAATTTTTCTATTTTGTGTTACGCTGTTTAGAAATTATTTTTGTCTTATTCATGTCTCTAAGTATATTTCTTGTAATTTGGTCATTCTTAAGTATATTGCATAATAATACATAATTTTCAATCATAAAGCCAGAAATTTGTGTCTGCAAACTCTAGTGTTGCTACCTAACTTATAAAGGACTAGAAAATGTTAAACTATTTAAATAACGGCATGTATCATTAATATGACATGATCTTGTTCTCAATAATTTTATTACAGAAATCAGGAAAAGCTCAAAGAAAAAGAGAAGGTCCCACATGACCCACTCCAACCAGGCAAGTCCTTCGGTCAGCAAACCTGGCAAATTCACAGCCTCCGACATGTCCTCATCCATGGGCAGCCACATGCAGACCAGTCAGAACAGCCCACTGTCTCCACCAAGCCTGAGGAGGCTCATGTCTAAGGCCAGCATGGAGAGTGACATTTACTACACAGCCGATGAATCTGACCCAGATGATGGGAACACCACGCTGACATGGGACAGTGCCAACAAGATTCCATACTCAGGTCAGACTTGTTCATCAGTGGGGCATGGGAAGTATACCTTGTCAGTTATCAGTAGAAAACTCATTGTCAGGCTCATTTTCAGCATCAGCTATGTAGCTCATTTTTCATAGGGCCAGCCATTTATTATGAATCAATTATATATTCACCTTCATTTACTAAACCCAGATGGCAGTGCTCTCCTAAAATATGTATGATATATAAACAGATGTTAACGTCATAAAGACTTATTGCAGGGGCAGGTCTTGATGACAATACACACCCTAAAAGGTTTAACGGAAATTAGTAAGAAACAGATTTGATCAAAACCAATTTTTACAAAGGAATTTTGTTCAAAATGAAATTTTCACATTTCTGAATTTAAAACAAATTTTTGAAAGTGAAAAGTGGAGAAAATGTTAACTTTTTTTTTTAGAACATTTATTTTCTGTTGTTTTTTCCATTATTTCCGCTTGAACAAACTTCCATTCAAACTAGCTTCCAATCGAACTAACTTCCGCTCCACCAACATTCCTTCATACTAATGGGTTTCCTCTAATTTCTGGCTATGCCACCTAATAACATGTGTGATATAAGACAGATGTAAAGCTGATCAAGGCTAATCACCAGGAAAGGTCTTGGTTTCAATTTCAGATGAAGAAAGCTGCCCCAGCACCATCAAGCGTGTCTCGCACCACAGTAAACTTGCTGGCACCAAGCTGAGACAGAACAAGCTCAAGCAGGACAGCAGTGAGTTTGTCTCGGCCAACTCCAGTGTGTCCTCCATAGCCAGCACGCTGTCCTACTGCTCGGCCACTTCGGACAATGATTCAGATCTCTTGGATTCTCAAGCCGATCCAGAGGAGCTCATTGACATGATCAACCTGCACAGCCACATGAACCTCCCCATCACCGAGTCCCCACTGCTGCTGTCATGTTACTCTCAGCATCTGTCACATTACTACTGTCAGGTCAGTTTTACACCTGTCCTGGCATGTGTCACGCTACTACTGTCAGGTCAGTTTTACACCTGTCCCCGCATGTGTCACATTACTACTGTCAGGTCAGTTTTACACCTGTCCCGGCATGTGTCACTGTACTACTGTCAGGTCAGTTTTACACCTGTCCCGGAATGTGTCACATTACTACTGTCAGGTCAATTTTAAACCTGTCATAGCATATGTCTTATTATTACTACCAGGTCAGTTCTGCAGAAAACTTTCATAAATATTTTTATATTTATTTATTTATTTATTTAGGCATTTTTATATAGCGCTTATCATAAAGCTCTAAGCGCTTTACAATTATTAAAACATGTAAACTAAGTAAAATAAAAATGAGACATTAGGATAGTAACTACTATTCTATAGAAACAATGAAAATGGCTATAAAAAGAGGACACTTTGACACTTCAGGATTAAACCGAAACAGAAAATTAGGTAGGGCAAGGAGGGTGCATCACAGGTCATAGGCGGACCTAAACAGATGAGTTTTAAGGGACTTTTTGAAAATGGACGAGGTTTCACTATGACGTATATGGAAGGGGAGCTGGTTCCAGAACGTGGGCCCATGGAAGCAGAAGGAGCGTTCACCGATGGTCTTAGTTTTAGTTCTTGGGATTGAGAGGGTTCTACTGTCAATGGAAGAACGTAGTTGTCTTGTGGGGATGTAAGGAAGCAACAGTTCAGAGAGATAGACAGGAAAGTGAGGGTCAGTGAACGAGTTGAAGCAAAGATTGGCAGACTTGTATTTGATGCGAGAGGATATTGGAAGCCAGTGGAGTTGCCGCATGTGTGGTTGAATGTGGTCATATATCACATTTATCAAAGAATGTGCAGGGAAATTTATGGTCCTCTAACTCCTCAGACCAGTCCATGGTTTCAAGTCATCAGTCTTCTTATGCAGCCAATGCAGGGCAGCTTACATCAGTTCCTGACTGTGGTCCACATGACCTGACTCACCGCTGACACATTTTGACTGACTATGTAGTCTAATATGACTGACTAAACCTAATATTATCTGTTGATATATGCTGTAAATGTAGTCTACTATGACTGGCTAAAGCCTCATTATCTGTTGATATATGCTGTAAATGTAGTCTACTATGACTGGCTAAAACCTCATATTATCTGTTGATATATACTGTAAATGTAGTCTACTATGACTGGCTAAAGCCTCATTATCTGTTGATATATGCTGTAAATGTAGTCTACTATGACTGGCTAAAACCTCATATTATCTGTTGATATATGCTGTAAATGTAGTCTACTATGACTGGCTAAAGCCTAATATTATCTGTTGATATATACTGTAAGTGTAGTCTACTATGACTGGCTAACGCCTAATATTATCTGTTGATGTATACTGTAAATGTAGTCTACTATGACTGGCTAAAGCCTAATATTATCTGTTGATATATACTGGCTAATGCCTCATTATCTGTTGATATATTCTGTAAATGTAGTCTACTATGACTGGCTAAAACCTTATATTATCTGTTGATGTCTAGATTAAAGCCTTTTATTATCTGTTAGCTTAACATGCCAAAATTTTTTATCAATGTTGTAGGACTGGATCTCCAGTGCTCCATGGTCAGCCGTCTACGCCAGTCGTCTCCATGGTCTCAACTCTGTCCAGTCTGAGTATTCCCTCTCATCTGCCGGACATTCCATCTACAGCGCTGGTGTGGCATGGACTCCACATTTCTACAAAGTCAAAGATGGTTTCAGTGTGAACGTCATGAAGCCCAGGCCAGACATCAAGGTACTGACCACCTCAGCAACTTGTGCTTGATTTTCTTTATTTCTTCTTGTTGTTGTTTTTATCATGTTTTGTGTGTGTGTGTTTAACTAACCATTTTAACGGATGGGTTTTTGTTGTTTTTATCATGTTTTGTGTGTGTGTTTAACTAACCATTTTAACGGATGGGTTTTTGTTGTTTTTATCATGTTTTGTGTGTGTGTTTAACTAACCATTTTAACGGATGGGTTTTTGTTGTTTTTATCATGTTTTGTGTGTGTGTTTAACTAACCATTTTAACGGATGGGTTTTTGTTGTTTTTATCATGTTTTGTGTGTGTGTTTAACTAACCATTTTAACGGATGGGTTTTTGTTGTTTTTATCATGTTTTGTGTGTGTGTTTAACTAACCATTTTAACGGATGGGTTTTGACTTTAAAAATTTTTTAAAAAAATGTTATCAGTGATAAAATATAATGTAAGTTTCTAACATTAACATCGTATGGATCTGGGGAAGACTGATTTCTTAGTCTTTTATGTGAACTTTGTCCCCATTCTAGCTTTGAAATAACTTATTTGTTATTTAACCCATTTTGAACATTTGTCTGTAATGTGCCACTAATTAGATTGTTTGAACTCGGCAGAATATCTATAATCTAAACTCGGCAAAATATCTATAATGTGCCACTAATTAGATTGTCTAAACTCAGCAGAAAACATCTCCTGCGAACGTAGCTGCAGAATTTGTCTGTAATGTCCCACTAATTAGATTGTCTAAACTCAGCAGAAAACATCTCCTGTGAACATAGCTGCAGAGTTGTTCAATATAAAAGCAACCCTGGACAGAGAACACAGGAAACAACAGACACTTTCAGAAGAAGGTAACCTCCCCTTGACACTCAACATTTAGCACTTGTGAATGCTGCCTGTCCATACAATAGCTCTTAGTAATAATATCATTTTAAGCTGTCTTTATCAAAACTTGGCATTTTCCAAGTCTCTGGTAAATAACACAAGTACTAAGAAGCTTATCCCACCAGTTTTCTGATTTTTTTTTTTTGCCCATTAGTGAAACAGAATTATTCTAGACGAATGAGCACTATATTTAAATATTTGATTGTATAACACGGCATCAAGACTGTCCGAAGGGGCTTGATAAACTTACCAGATATGACAGGTACTTTGAACATTGATTACAGCCATGTCCCCACTTTTATTTCCTTGTCAGATGAAGGTAAAGAAGGTCCAGTTGAGAACATTTCCAAAACCACAGCTGTGGTGCAACTGTCTGGATCTCTTGATGTCCTCATGACCCCGTTGCTTCTGGAGGCATTACAGAGGTGAACTTAACATACTATCAAATAATGCACTCTTCTGCCATAGCATTATGTGGTCCAGTGGCGTAGCGAGGCAAGTGCGGGGGGTGCGGACCGCACCGGGTGACACCATTTTAGGGGTGACACCCGATTGAAAAATTGCATATTTACAGGGCACACATTGCTCGCAAAAATCGAGATTCATAAAAGAATAACCGATCACACATATATTTTTCACAAATTTAACCAATCCAAATGCGTGCTTTATTAAAAGTTCAAGGTTGATGCTATACTGTGGACTTATTTTAACAAGAAAAAATCGATCATACAAGTTTGGGGGTGGGGGGGNTGGGGGGGGGGGGGTGGTGACACCATGAGTTTACCGCACCGGGTGACACAACCCTAGCTACGCCACTGATGTGGTCTTATATTTGAAAGGCATAGATTTAGAATTGCACCCAATAGGATTGATTCATTCAGAATGTGTAAGAAAATGACTCTGAGAGAGAACATTAAAACTATTAAAAACTTTGACTAGAATTAAAGAAATAAAACATGAGACTTGTTAAAATTTCTGTCACATTAAAACCTTGAGCTGTTGGTGCATTTTTTAACTCATGAGATGTTATTACATTATGCATAACAAGTAATAAGGTTGGGGGGGGGGGTGATGTCTTGGTGTCGGAAGGTCAATTCAGACGGCCGGGGTTCGAATCCTGGTCGCTTCATGGACATTGGCCTTTTGGCCTTTATTCTTACCGAGAAATTAAACGCAATGAAGAATTGGATGGTTTTATTTAACAAACAAACTTTTAATGTCACCTCCTTGCTCTTGGGACCTCTGCCTGAAACTGTACATTTGGTTGTCATGGTAATTGAATTTAAAAGAGAATCACACAAGACTTATGAAATTAAATTTGTTTAATCTCTAATTCTTTTTTTGACTGTCCAGGTATGTTGAGGCTGTGACACCCACCCTCTCCAAACTCCACCCGTCCTCTTTGATTGATGGGCTTCACAGCCAATGCCTCGACAGGCTAAAGCAGCAGAACAAGCTGAAGAAAGGGAAAGGAATTGATGAGAACAAATCAGAAGAATCCACTGACAACTTGTCAACCAGCAAAGATGTGACCCCAGCTAAAACATCCTCTCTCCAGGCTCTCTTCACCTTACCCAAGGTTTGATGTTACGCTTGTTACAAACCCGTTCTTACCAAAGGTTGGATGGCTTCGTTTGTTTAGGGGTTATTATATTAACTAGACAAACCCTTGATTATTATAATAAAGTATCTCTATTAACCAAATTGCATCGTCAACTGCCATTACTCAATCACAACAATAATACGCCATTTCCCCTTACGCACAATACGTCACAAAAAACCAAACATTTAACATCAACATCTACGCTAATACTCTCCGAACAACACGCCATCACAATAAACATTCGAGTCCTTAACACTTGTTTTATTCTATGAGGAAATAGAAACTTAACATAAGTAAACAAACATGAAATGATTGCACAAATTAAACAACTCCTAACAACAAAGTTTTTCCTATACATCCTTTATAACATGTCATATTGAGCAATGAGAGGTGGGGCTGAAAATTTGACAAAACATGCATACAAGTAACGCACTTTATAACATGTCATATTGAGCAATGAGAGGTGGGGCTGAACATTGGACAAAACATGCATACAAGTAACGCACTTTATAACATGTCATATTGAGCAATGAGAGGTGGGGCTGAACATTGGACAAAACATGCATACAAGTAACCCACTTTATAACATGTCATATTGAGCAATGAGAGGTGGGGCTGAACATTGGACAAAACATGCATACAAGTAACGCACTTTATAACATGTCATATTGAGCAATGAGAGGTGGGGCTGAAAATTGGACAAAACATGCATACAAGTAACGCACTTTATAACATGTCATATTGAGCAATCGAGGTGGGGCTGAACATTGGACAAAACATGCATACAAGTAACACACTTTATAAGAATCCTAAACCGCACATTTTTTTCATGCCGATGAACTATATCAATATTCTAATGACCCACCCGCTTTTACACTGCAGATTTATTTCGTCAACTATTTCAGAAAATCAAAAGAAAATATTATGCACCAAACGCACTTGCAATTTTTTTTTGACGCAGTTAACAGGAATTTTATTTTGTGAAATCAGTGTCATCATATTTCCTTCATCATCCCCTTGAAATACAGGAAAACCATTTTTGGGGGTTGGGGCTGAAAATTTGATCGAATATGTTGTCACCGGCAATGAGTCTATGTGCCAAGTTTCAGCTTTGATAGGCTGATGGCAGGTGGGTCAATTAGCCGTCTAAATATTTTGCCAGCCAGCCACATACAAAAGGGGAGCTAATATAAAGGATTTAATAAAGAGTGTGCATGATCAGCAGACGATTTCTTCCTGTATCACAGGATAGTGAAGGACTGCGTCCAAACTGTGGGAAGGAAGTAGTGGAACAAGGTCTGTGGGAGCTTGAACTATAAAGACAGGACAATACAATGAGAAACATTCTATTTTTTTTGTCCTGTCTTTATAGTTGAAGCTTCCACATACCTTGTTCCACTATTTCCTTCTGTATCACTCTAGTGAATGCCCCCAGTCATTATTTATAACTCCATGACTTGATACAGACCTGTTTACTCTTATGATTTAGGCATACAATGTATGATTTTGAGGTGTATACATTATGTAAACTGTATGTTTATTTTTTACTATTAATATAATGTATTGAACGATTTTGTGATGATTTTGTACGATTTTAAGAGTTTGGGGGTAAACAGGTCTGCCGATAAGAGGGGCATTGAAGTAGGGTTTTGATGTATTAAACCTTTAAGTAATATTATAATATCTACAATCATAGCTTGTTGAAATGTTGAAAGAAAATAAAAATATAACTCTTTTTTCTTTAATAACTTAATTGAAGAATGGAATTTTAATTGATCCTTATAAGAAATTTTAAGGTATTTTTAATTTTTATTCCAATTTATTGCTGAAAATTATCTTATGTTATTGCATAATTATAAAATCTTAAAATATCGTAAGTTTCTAATTTCTCTCTCTGTCCCCCTGTCATCGCAGATCAACATCTGTGTGTTGCAAGCATCTATTGTTGAAGAAGTGATTGCCTTCTCCAACCTTGGGTCAGCCAGTGACCTGACAGCCGTGTCTCTCCTGGCCGTGTGCATTGATGGGGTCAGGTGCCAGCTCCTGTCCAACAAACACTCGTGTAAAGTGAGGCAAATTTCTAGCAGTAGCCAATATTCTTCTTGTCACAATTGGATATAATTGTATTCTGCATTATCACCTTTAGAATAGATTTATTTTACATTAGCTATTACTATTAGAGTAGGTTTATTTACAACATTACCTATCACTACTAGGTTGCCATTGAATCGTCGAAAGAGCCTCTGACAAGGAAAAGCAGTGCCACACCAAAGTCTTCAGTCAAATTTGCATCTGGCACTTCAAGAGGAAAAGGGGAAGTGAATCCATTGGAACCAGACATTGAAAAGTAAGACCTTGGTGTTTGTTGCTGTCCCTTTGTTTCTGTTTCTAAGAATGAGTATCCTTTTGTAAGTAATTTCTAAACATTTCAAATCAACAAAAAATGGCGTTGAAAAATAGACACAAATTAACTTTAAAGAATAAGATTCTGCTAGCAACCAAGTTATGTTTACAGCAGTGGTTCCCATATATTTTTACGCATTATGCCACTTTTTAAAAGCAATTACTATGGGTTGGTTGGGGGGGTGCGGGGGGCTATATCTTACAACATAATAATGTTTAGGAGTTTCTTGGAGCAGCAGCAGAGCCCCTGAGACTTGCTCATGAAGCCCTTAGGGCTCCGTATGAGCACATGATGGGAACCGCTGGTTTATAGTATGTCGTGCTGACCTTCACTATCAAATATTTCAGACCGCAGGAAGTTACAAGGGAAGAGAATGTTGGCACCTTGCACATCAACCACATACATGTCCAGCTGAGACGACTCCTCAAGTTCAGCAATTACTCTGAGCACGTCCTGCTCACGGCCATTCCTGAACAATACTCACGTGTCTTCTTCACTCTAGAGCAGGACACCTCAACGCCCATATCCCAGCATCAAACCATTCCTGATGGAAATCTCAGTAGGTCTCTTTTTGTTTTACCATCTTTGTTTACAGGTGGTGGCATCCTGTCCATCCATTCCTGTGTCGCTACAGCCTGTGTATGGCAGGGCTTTGGCTGCCTTGCCACTTCATGCCACTTCATCCCACTTCATGCCACTAAGACCCAAATGATGCGTTCGATTCCCAGCTGTTTTAGATCATTTTCCACATCATCCATCCATCGAAGCTTAGGTCTGCCTTTGAGCTGTTTTCCTCGGGTGTTTTGGTGGTGCAACCTCTTCGATCTTTTGTCACATCCTGTCCTTTTTTATTTCTGCAACTAATTTGGGATCCTGGTATAGCCCACACAATTCCTGGTTGGTTCGTATGCTCCATCCATATACATCATTTGTTGGTCTGTATATTTTCCAGAGAACTTTTCTCTCCCGTGTGTTAAACAGGTTTTCTGCTGTTTTGGTTAGGGTCCAAGGTTCATTTGTGTATGTTACCACTGGTCTGATTGCAGTTTTACTAGCAGAGGCAACACCTTTGACAGTATTAATTCTCTCTTGATATAATATATAGTAATGTTTTATGATTATATTTAGCGTGGTGAATTTTACTTTCCATTTGCCACAACCGTGGCTATTTTGGAAAAAGGTTGTCCCCCTTGGTCTAGGAATGCATATTCAATAATGATTTGTTTTCACAACATTGGGACCTCAAGTGAACTAGCACTCAACACAGTGTGCTCATGTATTGAACAAAACCGTTTTAAGCACCAGGTACAGGAAAGCTGTTCATTTTTGTGCTTCAATAAAATTGGCATATAATTTTCATGACCGACCTAGCAACAGCACAAATTCATGAATAGTTGAACAAAGGTATAGCTGAAATCCTTTTCTTCCACCCTGCACAATCTATCAAAAAGAAACATTTAACAAATCCTTCATAATAACCAACATCTCACCACTTATGACACACTACATCCATATGTGGGGGGCTTTCCCCTAACTGTCACCTTGGCAGGGGCTCGATGGAAGATGAGTATCTCCAACTGAGTGTGGCATCCTGTAGCTTCAAGAAATGCTTAGGAAAGCTAATGGTGTCTTTGTTAACCTGTCAAGATTTTACATTTTTTTAAAAGGGGTCTTTCTTTTTTCCTTGTACCTTTTTTTTCACACATCTCTTTAGGTCATTGCTCTTAAAATTTATTGGACGTAGCTCTTTAGGTCTTTGGAACTAAACTTGTTGCATACATTCCTTCAGATCTTTCAGGTGGCAGTAATTTGATCAACCCCTCCCCGAAGAGAAGACTGTCACGGACATCCAGCAGAGACAGGGACACTGATGGGGCAACGCGAGGCCTTGACGGTGAAAACTGTGTTTTCTCCCCTGCCAACATCGGCTTCATCATGTGTGAATCGGGGCTGGAGGACATCTCTGTGACGGCCGTGAGGCGCCTGGGCTACCGGGAGTCCAGCGATGTCCAGATCATCGAGGAGAAACTCAGCGGTCTGGACAAAACTGTGGCACAGATGCAAGAATCTGCAAGATCTAAGGTGGAAGGGCAAGGTGGAGGAGATGGGAAAACTCGTCATGGGGAGAATGAGAAGATGGACAAAGAGGATGAAGCGAAAGAGACCGCCAGTCAGGACTCCAGTACGGATGAACCCATTCCACTGAGCTCCCCGTCAGGTCACGTGCACTCCTCATCCCTCAGTTCCCCGTCATGGGACTCGGATAAATCGGTAGTGTCCAGTGAATCCCCTCCACACACCCCCGTCCCTATGCCGGAGCCGTTGGATGGCGATGCATCCAATGGGAGGCTGGAGCTGAAAACAATATGGTTTAACTTTGCTTCACCGCCACCAATATCCATTCATAAAAAAGTTGATTTCACCAGGTAGGTCATTCAGTCTCATACCATTAGACATAATCTGATTAAATACTGGTCATGCAGTCTCATAACATTAGACATAATCTGATTTAATACTGGTCATGCAGTCTCATACCATTAGACATAATCTCATATAGCACAGAACGTTGTACCAAAATCTTACAGTAGAAAAATTAAGCAGAAAAATATTTAAAAATTGAGTTTAGCAGTGATAAGGATATATTCTGATAATTCTTGGTTAATCAAATAGCCAGTAGAATTGGTGGATTATCAAAACAAGACCCATTTAGAGGTTATATAATCTTACAATAGGTTAGAAGTCCAGTAATCTTATACTTGGCTAGAAGTCTTGAAATTTTACAGTGGTTTAGTAATCTTGTCAGATTTTTCACCCACTGTGGTAAACTCATTGTGTCATAACAACCTCCACCTCAACTCCCAGTCCTCCAGTATTCCCCATGGACCTCATCAGGGTGTATCCCATTTTTTGTGTGTCTGCCTCTAGGTCGCGTCTCCATGTATTCTTTGGCCTTCCTCTCTTTCTTTTTCCCCTGTGGATTCCATGTTAATGATTGTCTGGGGGGATGCTATCTGGGGGTTTTCGGAGGGTATGCCCTATCCACCTCCATCTTCTCTTTATGATGTCTTCATAAAATTTGGGACACCTGGTATGTCCTTTCTGGTAGATCTTTGTTGTTGATGGTATTTGGCCATTTGATGGCTCCATATAGTAGGACTGTTTTGACATTAGTGTTAAAGATTCTGACTTTGGTTTGCAGCTTTAGCTCTTTCGACTCCCATATTTTTTTTAATAGCCTAAATGCTGATCTAGCTTTTCCAATTCTGGCCCTTTCATCGGCCTCGGCTCCGCCATTTATGTTGATGGTGCTGCCTAAGTATGTGAAGGACTCCACTTCTTCCAGTGCCTTTCCTACCAGAGACATATGCTCTTGGTTGGCTGAGTTTACCTTCATGATCTTTGTCTTGCTTTTATTTATATTGAGTCCGAGCTGTGCTGAAATGGTGGCTATGTCTTTTGTCTTTTCCTACATTTGTTGCTGGTTGTGGGACAGAAGTGCAATGTCATCTGCGAAGTCTAGGTCATTCAGTTGTTCTTAGAGTGTTCACTATATCTGGTTCCTCTTTTTGTCTCTGGATTTTTTTCATTATCAAATCAATGGTGAGGATGTATAGGAAAGGGGACAAGAGAAATCCTTGTCTGAATCCACAAGTGAACTTCAATTTACCAATTGTCCAGTTTCCCATTTGATGTCAACCACCATGGTTTGCAACCTGTAGTGACACTACTGGGTCTCTTATCTTACATGATTCTCATTAACCTACAGGCTGGATTGGAATCTTCTGAGCACAGCTACACCAGCCATCGATGCCTGGCTGAACCCAAGTGACCGTCTGATGAATTCTGTCAGAAGTCTAGTTAGAGAGTACTCCAAACGGATGTGCTGTGTCATTGCTTGTATGATGATTGAAGGCCTAGAATGTCAAGGGATACATGTGGCATACAAGGTATTCATCTTAGTGTAGCAATCTTTTGTAAGATGATTGAAGGTTTAGAAATGTCAAGGGATACTTGTGGCATACAATTTATTCATCTTAGTGTGACTATCTCAGATTACCATATTAATACCTTAGTTTTTAAAATAAAATTTAGCTTACCATATGTTTAACCGTTTACAAGACAGGATGAGGAAGGTAATGATGCGTCTGTAAAATGAATAGATATCTGTAAAATGAATAGATACGATTGGTTCTCTTCTTCATTTACAAATGTGCTTACCTTGAATCAATAGCTTTTCTAATGAAATAATGGTTTTGTAGAAAAAATGTGACTTGTGCATGATGTGATTGATAAAATACTATGCATTAATAGTCCTGATGCTTGTATCTGCAATGATCAGTTCAGCAGCTTTTGGTTAAAATGGCTATAATTGTAAAATGTTGTCTCGTTTTAAATATGTATTTATTTATGTGCTGAAAAATAAATATTTACAACGTAAAAAAAAAAAAATTCCTTAATTTTGATCAATAAAGAATCTTATCTTTATTTTGTCATTTTATCATATCTTATATTATTATAAGATAATTATCCTATCCTATCTTATCTCATCTTATAAGATTAAAAATACAAACTAGGCTGAAACTGTTTGTATGCGACCATTTGTTACAGAGCAAATTTAACAAGCTAACTTCACTGTCCAAAACACTGCAAGAGGATCCATCCAACCAGCTACTGACCGTGCTCAGGAAATACCTGCACAAGTACGGTACGGGTCATGTGGAGAAGTCCGTCTCAGTGGAGACGGTGCCCCAGCTGATCACAGTGCAGAAAGGAATTCTGGCATTGATGAGGCAGTGGAAGAATGTCCTGTACATGCCAAATCTTGGTGAGCTGAACTTTAAGGTGAGTTCTGCCGAGCTTGTTGGTGGGGGTTAAGGTTGTGAAAAGGGTTTGATTACCATGATTTTAATGAACTTGTCAAGTTGGAACGTACCACTCGCTACAATGTTAAGCCTATTTAGACGGTGCCTTTTGTAGACTGTCTGTGACAAAAAGATGGAGCCCTTTTCACAAGCCCTGCACTTATGAATCAAACTGAAATCTCAACATTAATGCAAATGAGTTATCCTGATTTGCATAATTTATGCATACACATTTATTTCACCCTTCGAATAAGCATTTGTGGGGGTCACTAGGTAAAAAAGAAATTGATATAAAATGACAGAAATCTGTAAAATGTCAAAGAAAGCCGCCATTTAAATGGCAAAATGAGCAAGAAAGGCGAGAAGCCACTGATGAGCTGGTATAAAGACCAGCCACCCTATCTCGAGGCTTTTATTATTGTCTCAAGAGGGTACCCGGTAATGAAAAAAATGGCAGAAGATGCATAATATTAGTTGATGAAATATGAGCCAAAATCACCAGCCATATTTGACTGTTAGCAGATGTGACACAAGTGGACAACCTAAAAATGAAGATCACATCTAACATTACCCAAACTTTCTTAATGTTTCTAAATGACAAGACTAGTCTGTAGTTGTGATGTGACCACTCATCAGTTGGATCAAAATGACCTAGTCAAACTACACTACTAATCAATTTGATCAAATTGACCCTGTCAAACTGCATGCATAGCCACTAGCAGACCTGTTTACTCTTACGATTTTGGCGTACAATGTACGATTTTGAGGTGTATAGATTGTATATACTGTATGTTTTTTTTACTATGAATATAACGTATTAAATGACTTTGTAATGATATTGTACGATTTTAAGAGTTTGAGGGTAAACAGGTCTGCACTAGACCACTTCGCAAGCACAAATCAAAATTTATGTAAACATAATACATAAATTGGGGGGGGGGGGGGGGTGGGTTGCGTTCAAGTATATTTAGAGGATATAGAGGATATTTAGATTTATATATGTTTAGGTCAGAAAAAAAAGACAGGATAATTAAATGGATGTTTCAATTGACCCTCTTAAGATGAATGGGCCGGTCTATGGGCCCAAGAGTCAGTTGCGAAAAAGACAAAGGGCCAATTCATCTGCCCAATAATACAAGCCTTGAGATTGGCTGGCTGGTGTTCCTAACAGCTAATCAGATTGCATATTGCATTTCTTGCTCATCTGCGCATTTAAATGGGAGCTTCCATTGATAGATTATGATGTTCTGCATCCAATTTTTTGGTACCAAGTGACCCTTATCATTGCTTAAAAAATAAAGACGTTTGCCATACAGCATAAAAACCTAATGTGGAATATTTTATGCAGTTGTTCACATTGAACCTCATTAAAATGTTGGTTAGGACTTATTTAGGCTTCAACAATCAGAAAATTCACCAAACTTCTGCAAGTGAGACAGAATCAACATGTTAGTAAAGATCAGTAACAACTGTTGTAACTCATTTATTTCTGAAATGTATAATAAATACAGTAGAGGTGGTTCTATTGATTGTAACTTGGTTACTTCTGATAAGTATATAATAAACACAGTGGAGATGGTTGAGTTGATTGTAACTCAGTTATTTCTGATATGTATATGATAAATACAATAGAGATGGTTGAGTTGATTGTAACTCAGTTATTTCTGATTTGTATAATTAATACAGTAGAGATGGTTCCATTGATTGTAACTCCGTTACTTCTGATATGTTTTGGTTTGATTCGAAGGACCACAGAAGCACTCCTCATTTACAATCACAAATCATCCTCTACCTCAACTCTTCCCACCTCATTTCAAGTAGGTAACTCCGACATACAGTTTACACCCTCTGCTAGGAATCTTGGTTATATTCTTTCTAACAACATGTCTCTCGATAAACATATCTCTCACATTTGTCGTTCGGCATACACCGCCATCCGTCAGATCAGCTCCATCCGCCACTACCTGACAGTTAGCGCAACAAAAACTCTAGTCTGTGCTCTTGTTCTCTCTCGTCTTGACTATTGCAACTCACTTCTGTCAGGTTCACCGAAACATTTTATAGAAAAACTGCAGAAAGTTCAAAACTCTGCTGCTAGGCTTGTTCTTAAGGCAAAAAAACATGATCACGTCACTCCACTACTCCACTCACTACATTGGCTCCCTATACAGGCACGCATTGACTACAAGCTGTCTCTTCTCTGTCACAACTTTTTCTCGGATTCCTGCCCTTCCTATCTAACTGAACTTCTTTCTGTCTATTCACCCCTTCGACAACTTCGCTCCTCCGCAGACTCGCGTATTCTGTCCGTTCCCAAGACACGCACTAAATTATATGGTGAACGATCTTTCTCTTTCTGCGCCCCCAAACAATGGAATTCTTTGCCACTACACATCCGCAATATAACAACCACACAGGCCTTCAAAACTGCACTCAAAACACATCTATTTAAACTATACTACTCTGACTGATTCTCCTCCTATAAACCGATAAACGTACATGGGTTTCCTTGTAAAAATGTCTGGTGTGGGTGGATGAATATACCTATGGTGTTGTTTTGCTTATATGTTGTTTTTATTTCATTTATGTATTTTATTTTAATATTATGATTATGCCTCTTTGCTATATATGTACAGCGCGGTGAGCCCAGCCCTAGGCCGGGGTACCGCGCTATATAAGACCACTTATTATTATTATTATTATTATATTACATTTGGCCTAATACAAGTTGACATTTTCAGTCTCGTCGAAGTATTCGTCCCTACAATGTGTCATTTAGTCTGCCCAAAAATGAAACTATTGATGAGATTGTTGAGGATAATGAAGATATCATAATTGACCAATTTGATGTAGTGGATGAAAAAATGTCTTTACTGCAGGTAACTTTTTGTGCACTAGTCATTTGTAAAATACTTAGGAAAGAATACTTTTTTAAAAAGTCAATTAAAAATAATAACAACCTTAAAAAAAATGTGTTTAATCAAATACAATCTTATTTTTTTTAACCCCATTGTTTATGTCCTCGATTTCTTGCACAGGCTGAAGGTGGTATGACGCACAGGTCTGGCTCAGTTCCAAGCCTTCATAGCAAGGGTAGACACTCTGTCAGCACTCAAGGAAAAACAGATGGCGTGGATTATGTCAGTGCTGACTCTCTTCCATCTGGGAAACCTCGGATGTTGTCCAATATTTTTAAGTAAGTTAAAAGATGGCAAAGATTGTTTAGTTGTTGTTTTTTTTAAATCGCAAAAATTAATACCTCTCAGAATGATATAGTTATCTTAAATAAAATATCAGACTATCATCTAAATTATCAACCAGTAAATTAAAATATCAGCCTATTAGCTAAAATATCAGCCTATAATCTAAAATATCAGCCTATAATCTAAAATATCAACCTAAAATATAAAATATCAACCCTTAATCAAAAATATCAACACAAAATCTAAAATATCAACCTGTAATCTAAAGTATCAACCTGTAATCTAAAATATCAACCTGTATTCTAAGCTATCAACCTATAATATACAAGATCAACATATAATCTAAAATATCAGCTAAAATCTAAAAAAATCAACCTGTAATCTAAAATATCAACTTAAAATCTAAAATATACAACTGTAATCTAAACTATCAACCTGTTATCTAAAATAACAACCTAAATATCAACGTAAAATTTAAAATATAAACCTGTAATTTAAATTATGAACCTCTTATCTTAAATATCAACCTATAATCTAAAATATCAACCTATAATATGAAAAACCAACCCATAATCTAAAATATCAACCTATAATCTAAAATATCAACCTATAATCTAAAATATCAACCTATCACCTATAATCTGAAATATCAAACTATAATCTAAAATTTCAACCTATAATCTAAAATATCAGCCTATAATCTAAACTAGGTCCAAGAAATCTGCTGGAGCCATGGACTCACCTTTGGACCACAGCACTTCCAACCTAGCACCACCCCCCATTTTTCTCGGCCTAAATCGCAATGACAGCAACATCAGCTTCACATCATTAGTGGAAAGTATCTCAAGCAATGAACAGCTTGGGGCCCCCACACCACCACACACCCCACTGAGAACCGCAGGCCCAAAACATTCCATTTTAAAAAATAGGTAGGTTTAAAGGTTGCCTTAAGTAGATAATTGGTCTTAATTCCCTTTGTTCATAAGCCGACCCCTTGTTCTTAATCCCCTTTGTTCATAAGCCGACCCCTTGTTCTTAATCCCCTTTGTTCATAAGCCGACCCCTTGTTTGGGATGAGAAATGCCCTGAAAGTTTATCCTGCTCACAAGCCACCCTTTAAAATAATATGCCAGTATATACCTTAAGGTACAAAAGAATGCCTAGGATGAGATTATGCTGGTGTGTAAAACAACTAAATATTGTTGTCATCTATTTCCAATATCTTTACATGTGGTTACCAATGGTGGAAGGGAGAGGATTACAAATTGTTGTTGAATTCAAAATGTGTAAAACATGGCATTAAAACATAAATTTTATTTCAAGAAGAAGATAAATCAAATCAATGATGAAGGTAAGTGCTGACAATTATGAATATTTAAAGTTGCAGTAGACTAGGTCCTTTGCGATTTACAATTAACAATTTCATTTTTCTATGTCCTTGGAGACAATTATAAAAATCTTCTGATCCACTCATAAGATAAACACCCCACTTATTCTCGTGCAATATTTTGTTCAAAGTCAGATTCAGAACAATTATATACTGTTAGATTTTACCTTAATTAATATTTGATACAATATTCCTCCTCATTAGTAATGACATGCTGGAAATTCAATTGTAATTAACCATATGAAAAATAGTAGAAACAAATCCTTCTCTGTCCTAAGAACCAGGACTGTTGCAGAGCTGATTTGTAATTGTTGTTCTAAGTAATTTATGTATACTTAAAGATATTACTATTTTATTAAGCTAATTTTTAAAAATATTTAGGTACAAACAAAATGAAGACCTGTACCAGTGGATGGCCAAACAGCAGAATGAGTTTCGCATCGACCTAGATGGAGATGAAGCGGCCCAGTACCTGCGTCAGAACACGTCCGAGTCGTGCGCTGCCGGGCTGGCCAGCTCCTGGACTCAAGATGACAGTAAGCTGGATGTCAATGAGGAGAACTGCACCATGGCCACATCGATCATGCAGCTTGCTGATGCTCAGGTTCTGATTGCTTTCTCTTTTGTTGAAAGGTTGACAGGACAGCCTTGGGTTAGGTTCTGGTCGCTTTCTCTTTTGTTGACAAGGTTGACGGGACATGCTTGGGTCAGTTCTGATTGCTTTCTCTTTTGTTGACAAGGTTGACGGGACAGCCTTGGGTCAGATTCTGATTGCTTTCTCTTTTGTTGACAAGGTTGATGGGACAGCATTGGGTCAGATTCTGATTGCTTTCTCTTTTGTTTTAAGTACCTACCTACATCCACCTTTGACATCCTATCCAACAATGTCCCCAGGTGTTGTTTAAACCTATCCTTGACATCCTATCCAACAATGTCCCCAGGTGTTGTTTAAACCTATCCTTGACATCCTATCCAACAATGTCCCCAGGTGTTGTTTAAACCTATCCTGCAGAGTCTGGGTTTACACGTGGAAAGTGTCCGCCCTTCGGCCATGATGAAGAAATTTGGAGGCCACCTTCTGCTCCAATGTCATTTCAGCTTGTTCAAGATCCTCATTGCCGAGTCCGAGGCCACTCCATCATTGCATACGACCTACATCCCAAAGGGCAAAGGTCGGGGCAAAAAAAGTTTCTCCAAAATGCCAGAGAGTGCTGCCTTCCAGTGTGAAAGGTACTACATATAATTCTAGGTGGGCCGTTGAGTGATGAAATCAGTCTTCCATTAAGCAAATACCGTAAATAGTCCTCTACGAAACAGTCCTCTACGGTAGATGTCTCTAAATCAGGATGCTGTCTGTGGAGTTTTAAAGATAATTATTTCTATCCATAAATGATGTCTCACATCTAGAAGGGTAGAGGGCTCACGAATTTGTGACCATGCATTATGAGGGCGTCCTAAATTGTGTGACCAATGAGTGACCATTGGGGGGGGGGGGGGGGGGGGAGGGGGGGGGGGTCCAAAGTAGCATAACGTCATTTATGACCTCTTTATTAGTAGTTTCTGTCAGCAAAGTGAAAGCCTTCAGCTGTTTCAATCATAAAGTTTTCTTATAGAAGCTAATTAAAATAAAATAAAAAACACAAGGGCTCACGAATTTGTGACCATGCATTATGAGGGCGTCCTAAATTGTGTGACCAATGAGTGACCATTGGGGGGGGGGGAGGGGGGGAGGGGGGGGGGGTCCAAAGTAGCATAACGTCATTTATGACCTCTATATTAGTAGTTTCTGTCAGCAAAGTGAAAGCCTTCAGCTGTTTCAATCATAAAGTTTTCTTATAGAAGCTAATTAAAATAAAATAAACAACACCAATGTCTGCACACAGAATAGTACAAGTCAGAATGCTACAACGAAGCAGAAACAAAATGAATGCAACTGAACACAAAGTGAAGGAAGGACATAATATTTTATATTACATTCAACTACTCCCGTTCACTGACGTGTATTACATACAAAATAGCAAATCCTTTTTTTGAACTTTAGTATTCAAATGCACCTTGGAAGTTGAATCAGTGCCAAGCCTAGTTCCTTCCATATTTGAGATGATCATGAAATATTTGAAGACATTTAAATTTGTTTTACCTTGAACATTTCATAACATTTTCTTCCCCATCACCAGTTTTGATGTGAATGTGTCGCTGAAAGACGCAGTGGATTTCTGCGAGAATGGAGAGATGTCCAAGTTCCCCTACAAGTTTGCCATGCACAAGCTGGAGGCCAAGCCGACCACACTGCAGATTAACCTGCTGGTCAACTGTCACGCCATCAGGCAGAATGTGGACATGGCCTTACTCAGGCTAGCCCATCAGGTGAAAATAATCTGCATTTGACACATTGGCAGACTTCACTGATTTATTTTCATCATGCGAATGTCTGTAAATTACGTCTTAAAATTGATTTTAGCTCAACTCTCTTTAATCAGTGTTGGTCTTGTGATGCTGCTCAAGGCAGTGGAAAAATCCCTAAGCTTGAGATTTTGCCAAAACATGAATAAATCTGATCAGTCGAGAACAATGATTGAAAATGTGTGCCATTCACAATGTCAGTGATTGAATGTCTGTGTTATTCACCTGTTCAGTGATTGAATTTCTGTGTTATTTACCAGGCCAGTGATTGAATATTTGTGATTTTTGCCAGGTCTTGACAATGGTTGGCAATGTGAAAGAGACCAGAGTTGAGCTGAAGCAGAAACGTTTTGACCAGTCCATATGGATGCAGACCCACAGGAAACAGGAGTCCAAAGATTCCACATCAAGTGTGGATACAAACCAGTCGGATACATCCCAGACCGAGAGGTTGATGGGATCTTTTACCAACCTTCTAACACTGGATAAAAGAAAAGGTAACCTATTGGTGTGTACATAGAATAACATTGGTGTGTACATACACTAACATTGATGTGTACATAAACTAACATTGGTGTGTTCATACACTAACATTGGTGTGTATGTACACTAACATTGATGTGTACATACACCAACATTGGTTTTACCTTAGAGTGTACATAAATTGTTACTTTAGAGTGTACACACATGAAAACTCTTTTACACATTTTAAATAAATAGGATGATCACTAAATGCCATTATGTCCCCCCAGAAACACCTCTCGTGCAGAAGTCAGGTCCACCTTCATCCAAGGGCAGTGCAGAGACAACATCTTCTCTCTTTCAGAGTGTCTCCAGCTCTAGGGTAGAATCCAAATGGTCCTCCGGGCTCAAACCCACCCCATCTCCTATTGTGGTCTCTAAACCAATCAGCCAGCACCAGGTACCAGCCAGCCAGCATCAGATACCAGCCACCCAGCACCAGGTACCAGCCAGCCAGTACCAGGTACCAGCCAGCCAGCACCAGATACCAACCATCTCAACTCACCCACCTTCTGCTGTAAACACTGATGGTCCTACTAACGGTGATGGAAAACTCCACCACATGACAGTGGAGTCGAAGGCTCAGATCCACTACACACCCCCTGGGCCTGACAACAGAAGACCAGAAGAGTTACCCCTGGGGCTTGGTCATGCCAAGAAAACAGGTCATCTCAGATTTGCACAAGATTCAAAGGAGGAATCTCCTGCCGCAAGTAATTCCTTCATCTTGTAGATTAATAATAATATATGGAAGTCCTAGCTGTGGTTAAGTAGTTGTGGGAAGTGCACTTGTCAATCCAAACGTGGGAAGTGCACTTATCAATCCAAACGTGGGAAGTGCACTTGTCAATCCAAACATTGGGAAGAGCACTTGTCAATCCAAACGTGGGAAGAGCACTTGTCAATCCAAACGTGGGAAGTGCACTGGTCAATCCAAACGTGGGAAGAGCACTTGTCAATCCAAACGTGGGAAGAGCACTTGTCAATCCAAACGGTGGCTATTCTAGGGAAGGAGTTAAAACCTCAGTGAAAAACATAAAGTCAGAAAACATCAACTGACTTGGGGGCTGCTATTGATAAGAAGCTGTTCATGCTATTCTGACAAAAAGATGTTATAGGCTTCTTGTAGTTGATGAGATGGGAAGTGTCAAGATGATATAGGCTTCTTGTAGTTGATGAGATGGGAAGTGTAAAGATGATATAGGCTTCTTGTAGTTGATGAGATGGGAAGTGTAAAGATGATGTAGGCTTCTTGTAGTTGATGAGATGGGAAGTGTAAAGATGTTATAGGCTTCTTGTAGTTGATGAGATGGGAAGTGTAAAGATGATGTAGGCTTCTTGTAGTTGATGAGATGGGAAGTGTAAAGATGATATAGGCTTCTTGTAGTTGATGAGATGGGAAGTGTCAAGATGATATAGGCTTCTTGTAGTTGATGAGATGGGAAGTGTCAAGATGATATAGGCTTCTTGTAGTTGATGAGATGGGAAGTGTAAAGATGATATAGGCTTCTTGTAGTTGATGAGATGGGAAGTGTAAAGATGTTATAGGCTTCTTGTAGTTGATGAGATGGGAAGTATAAAGATGATGTAGGCTTCTTGTAGTTGATGAGATGGGAAGTGTAAAGATGATATAGGCTTCTTGTAGTTGATGAGATGGGAAGTGTAAATATGTTATAGGCTTCTTGTAGTTGATGAGATGGGAAGTGTAAAGATGATATAGGCTTCTTGAAGTTGATGAGATGGGAAGTGTAAAGATGATATAGGCTTCTTGTGGTTGATGAGATGGGAAGTGTAAAGATGTTATAGGCTTCTTGTCGTTGATGAGATGGGAAGTGTAAAGATGATATAGGCTTCTTGTAGTTGATGAGATGGGAAGTGTAAAGATGATATAGGCTTCTTGTAGTTGATGAGATGGGAAGTGTAAAGATGATATAGGCTTCTTGTAGTTGATGAGATGGGAAGTGTAAAGATGATATAGGCTTCTTGTAGTTGATGAGATGGGAAGTGTAAAGATGATATAGGCTTCTTGTAGTTGATGAGATGGGACGTGTATTCTATGATTTTTAAAAATCTTCAATATAAAAAAATGATACATGACAGCTTTTAAAAAGCAAAATCCTAGTCATCTCCATCATGTTTCTATCTCTATTATTTTGTCAGAGAAAGTGTCCACTCCTAGTCATCTCCATCATGTTTCTATCTCTATTCTTGTGTCTGAGAAAGTGTCCACTCCTAGTCATCTCCATCATGTTTCTATCTCTATTCTTGTGTCAGAGAAAGTGTCCACTCCTAGTCATCTCCATCATGTTTCTATCTCTATTCTTGTGTCAGAGAAAGTGTCCACCCCTAGTCATCTCCATCATGTTTCTATCTCTATTCTTGTGTCTGAGAATGTGTCCACTCCTAGTCATCTCCATCATGTTTCTATCTCTATTCTTGTGTCTGAGAAAGTGTCCACTCCTAGTCATCTCCATCATGTTTCTATCTCTATTCTTGTGTCAGAGAAAGTGTCCACCCCTAGTCATCTCCATCATGTTTCTATCTCTATTCTTGTGTCAGAGAAAGTGTCCACCCCTAGTCATCTCCATCATGTTTCTATCTCTATTCTTGTGTCTGAGAAAGTGTCCACTCCTAGTCATCTCCATCATGTTTCTATCTCTATTCTTGTGTCTGAGAATGTGTCCACTCCTAGTCATCTCCATCATGTTTCTATCTCTATTCTTGTGTCAGAGAAAGTGTCCACCCCTAGTCATCTCCATCATGTTTCTATCTCTATTCTTGTGTCTGAGAAAGTGTCCACTCCTAGTCATCTCCATCATGTTTCTATCTCTATTCTTGTGTCTGAGAAAGTGTCCACTCCTAGTCATCTCCATCATGTTTCTATCTCTATTCTTGTGTCAGAGAAAGTGTCCACTCCTAGTCATCTCCATCATGTTTCTATCTCTATTCTTGTGTCAGAGAAAGTGTCCACTCCTAGTCATCTCCATCATGTTTCTATCTCTATTCTTGTGTCAGAGAAAGTGTCCACTCCTAGTCATCTCCATCATGTTTCTATCTCTATTCTTGTGTCAGAGAAAGTGTCCACTCCTAGTCATCTCCATCATGTTTCTATCTCTATTCTTGTGTCAGAGAAAGTGTCCACTCCTAGTCATCTCCATCATGTTTCTATCTCTATTCTTGTGTCAGAGAAAGTGTCCACTCCTAGTCATCTCCATCATGTTTCTATCTCTATTCTTGTGTCAGAGAAAGTGTCCACTCTTGGTCATCTCCATCATGTTTCTATCTCTATTCTTGTGTCAGAGAAAGTGTCCACCCCTAGTCATCTCCATCATGTTTCTCTCTCTATTCTTGTGTCTGAGAAAGTGTCCACTCCTAGTCATCTCCATCATGTTTCTATCTCTATTCTTGTGTCAGAGAAAGCATCCACTCCTAGTCATCTCCATCATGTTTCTATCTCTATTCTTGTGTCTTAGAAAGTGTCCACCCCTAGTCATCTCCATCATGTTTCTATCTTATTTCTTGTGTCAGAGAAAGTGTTCACTCTTCACACTGGAGCTGATGGTGATGTCATGACACCCCCTCACTCCCTGAATCTCAGTGACTCCGTGGTCCTGGACATCGCTGACACATCTTCCCCTGCCCTCAATGAGAAGACAATCATCGACGAGATCAAGGAGAGCACCCCTCAGTGCTGGAGACACTTGTACCAGCTGTTGGAGCTGTACGCCACAATGCCTGAACCCAAGACGGTGGCAGTCAGGCATTCTCAAGGTAGATAATTTATACAATGTCTGAACCCAAGACTGTTGCAGTCAATAGATATTTTATACAATATCCGAACCCTAGACTGTTGCAGTCAATAGATATTTTATACAATATCCGAACCCATGACTGTTACAGTCAATAGATATTTTATACAATATCCGAACCCAAGACTGTTGCAGTCAATAAATATTTTATACAATATCCGAACCCATGACTGTTGCCGTCAATAGATATTTTATACAATATCAGAACCCTACACTGTTGCAGTCAATGAATATTTTATACAATATCCAAACCCAAGACTGTTGCAGTCAATAGATATTTTATACAATATCCGAACCCATGACTGTGCAGTCAATAGATATTTTATACAATATCCGAACCCAAGACTGTTGCAGTCAATGAATATTTTATACAATATCTGAACCTATGACTGTTGCAGTCAATAGATATTTTATACAATATCAGAACCCTACACTGTTGCAGTCAATGAATATTTTATACAATATCCAAACCCATGACTGTTGCAGTCAATAGATATTTTATACAATATCCGAACCCTAGACTGTTGCAGTCAATAAATATTTTATACAATATCCGAACCCATGACTGTTGCCGTCAATAGATATTTTATACAATATCCGAACCCTAGACTGTTGCATTCAATAGATATTTTATACAATATCCAAACCCAAGACTGTTGCAGTCAATAGATATTTTATACAATATCCGAACCCTAGACTGTTGCAGTCAATAAATATTTTATACAATATCCGAACCCATGACTGTTGCAGTCAATAGATACTTTATACAATTTCCGAACCCAAGACTATAGCAGTCAGGTTTCCTTGGGTCCATACAGTTCTTGTCCCAGAGAGTTGACAGATGTATTCAAGATATGTGCATGATGTACATGTTATTGTCTAAAACAGTTTACTTTCCTACTAAGTAGCTTAGATGGTTAAGTGATAATGTCCCTAAATATTCTCAAAGATTTTGTTAAGGAACATTTATTCCTCTTTTAGCCCAACCTCAATAATTATAATGGTATGAAGAGAGAGTTACTGCATGAATTAATCTTGTGTCTGTCAGCTCTAAACAAGTTGCCTGTCATAGAGAAAGAGTTAGGGGTTACCAGAAATTTGTTGGAAAGAAATTTTGTCGACTGACAATTGATACACGGAAGTTTGATCGAATGGAAATTTGATCAAATTTTTTTTTTCAGCCCACACGATCAAATTTTGGTCAAATTTCTTTTCGTACGCACTATAATATATAGTAAAACAAAATAATTCGTTCAACAGTTAGGGCATAAATTAATTCAACATGTTATCTGTCAGCTCTAATAGAGGAAGACTTGGGGCATAAATTAATTCAACATTTTATCTGTCAGCTCTGAACAAGTTGCCTGTGATAGAGGAGGAAGATGTAGAAGAGGGCTCAGTGAAGAGGGAGTCTCGTGTCTCAGACTATGGGGCCAAACTCAGCACTCTCATCCAGAACAGGAAATCTTCCATGCTGCACGGACTCAGACGAGATTCTTCTACAGGTGGCTAATAAAGCTATCATTTAAACTCATTTACAGAAGCGGTTAAATTAGCTGTTTTCCTGTAGATTGTAACTTCTGGGCAAATAAACTGTAATTATGCTGCTAATGAAATTTACTGTGCTCTACATTAATTGATTTATGGAGATGAGATGCCTCATTTTAGTTGGCTAAAAGAATTTACATATTTTATTAAATAATCCTAATAAAGAAATTAAAATTTCATTTCTGGCCATACCATAGTAATTAAGTTAAATTTCTTCATTGATAACATCAGACAGCCAAGATGCTCAGCAGAGGTGGAAAAATGCCAAAGATAAAATTGATAGAAAACAGGTCCAGGAACCCAAGAAAGAGGAGAAAAAGAATAAAGTTGACGCAGCAGCCAAAGAGGAGGCGAGTCTGGGCACGGACTCTTCCTTGGCTCATCAGTCGTTCATCAGGACGAGGTTTAAACAAAGTGAGTCTGTCGTTGAATGTCTGACACAGAAAAGTTTTAAACAAAGTGAGTCTGTCGTTGACACTGACAAGGTTTAAACAAAGTGAGTCTGTCGTTAAATGTCTGACACTGACAATTAGAGCAAGATTTATTACATAAGTAAAGTTAATGTTAGCAGGTTTGAGCATATTCAGGGATGGGTAAATAAATTATTTAAATAGACTCACCAGCTCAACCAGGCTGCTATTCTAGGGGAGGAGAAAATCAGAAGAGGACAAACAAAATGATGCCCCAAAAGATGTAAGACACCAGCCGGTATGAGATAGTAATAAGCTGTTTAAGTGAACCTGACACTATGAGTCACACTCAAAATATGTGAGTGAACTTTTACTTCTTTGCAACAATGATGAGATTACACAGGGATAATAGACATTGATAACATAGGGGACATTGACAGAAATTATCTTTGGGGCACATAGACTCATGCTTCAAGTCATCTAGGATTTCTCATCGACTGAGTATATCCATTGAAATAATTAGTTTTTATGAAGATAGAATTGTTTCATGAACACAACACTCATGCCTCTTTTAAATTCATCATGAAAACTATCGTCCAGGCGTCAATGTTGGATGACCACACCACTAATGTCTCTATCAAATTGTCCATTCTCCAGGTATCTACGTTGGAGAAAGTGTCCCACTGATAGTCTATGGAATTCTGAAGGTAGAAAAGTTTCTCATCAGTGCTGAACTGAGTGGTCTCAAACTGGAAGCCAACACTACCAAAGTTCATGCCAGTGGCACCTACAAGAAAAGGGTCAAAGGTCAGAGTCTCTACATTTACTCTATGGTCTAATTTTAAAGATTGCAAAGGAAAAAAAAATTGTTATTCTTTTTACCATTTTCAGGAATTTATTCGAATACATCTAATTACTTTGAAGCCACAATCTGGTGGCGTGGCCATAGCCACCACAATCATGTGTGGTGGCCTTAGTCACCACAATCTGGTGTCGTGGCCACAGCCACCACAATCTGGTTTCGTGGTCCTAGCACCACAATCTGGTATCGTGGTCCCAGCGGCCACAATCTTGTATCGTGGCCCCAGCCACCACTATCTGGTGTCGTGACCCTAGCCACCACAATCTGGTATCGTGGTCCCAGCCACCACAATCTTGTATCGTGGCCCCAGCCACCACTATCTGGTGTCGTGACCCTAGCCACCACTATCTGATGTCGTCGCCCTAGCCGCCACTATCTGAGGTCATGGCCCTTGACTCCACAATCCGGTTTTTTGGCCATACGCACCACAATCTGGTTTTGTGGCCATACACACCACAATATGGTTTTGTGGCCCTAGCCACCACAATCTGGTGTCATGGCCCTTGCCACCAAAGGGCCACCACAATCTGGTGTCATGGCCTTTGTCACCACAATCTGGTGTCATGGCCCTTACTTTATAGTTTAGAGCCTTAATTGACCATAATGATTTCTCCTTTTTGTTCCATATTTTGAATGCCTTCCTCTTTATGCAAATAGAAGACACATTATTATTGAATTATAAGTTAGTAAAACATTGAACTGAGCTAGCAAGTTTATTCTGAGGCAGAGTTAAGTCAAGGTGGCAAGACTTCTATTCAAGTATAAGTCCATGGCTTTGATAGTCTTCTGACTAGTGTACACATTCAATTAACTATTGAATGAAAATTCACATGTACCAGTTGTTTAACTTACAAGACAAAATGCATCAACTCTCTTCCATTTTGCTATGTTAATTCCAGGTTTCCTGCACAGAGTTTCCTCAGATTCCTCATACACGGCCCACATGGGTCAGTCTAAGATTAATCTCAGAGAAGGAGATCCACCAGAACTGCAGTGAGTCCACTTCATTACTATGCAAAAATCAACCAAATAAACTATGTGTGTCATGACTTGTCTCTTTAGGTGTTACAATACCTGTAAAAAAAAAAACCGATTTATTCAAAAAGAAACACAACATTGTAAGAAAAGAGAAATAAATAAAATCACTGGATTATGAAAGGAAAAACTAAGCCAAATCACAATGATCCTGCTCAAGCTGACTTTTCTAAACCACTCAATTGCTTGTCATGAAAACTTGTCTGGGAATGTTATATATGCAATGTTGTTCTTATGATCATGTGAAGCTGGCTCTGACACAGATCATATGACGCTGACCCTCCTATGACTTAACATTTCAGAACTGTGGTGACCATCAACATAAACAAATCCCAGGCCCTGTTGACGTCCGTCATGCGTCGAGGCAAGGAGCACAACTCCACACTTGTCTCCATCGGTGTGGTGGACATTGACATTCCCCAGCACCCGGTCATCCTGCATGACATGATGTCCAGGAGCTCCAAGAAGATCACGGCAACACTTCAGGAGCTTCGCTGGCCAACTCAGAATACCAAGTATTGGTGATACTTTCACTGCATTGTTTTTTATACTAGTTGATTGACAGTTTCTTAGAGTTGTATCAAGTAATAGCCACCTATAGATACACATAAATAAATGCACAAGAAGATGTGTGTGACCTTTTTGATATGATTTTTTGGAACATTCATCCGGCAGGCTAACCCTTATCAGTGACCACGTCTATCAATTTAAACTCTAAATTTCTTTTGAAGCAGTGAGGAGAATACGTAATAAAGCTCTGCAACTTGCAGATAAAACACACTGGTCATGTGCTAATGAAGGAAAGTCTAAACAAAAATTTATGGAGAAGGGTTGCTATGGTGTATGTTGTGAGAAGGGGAAGACATCACTATCTTGGGGGTTGAAACACTGACCAATGTTAACATAGAATGACGATACTGATATCAATCAAAGTATTTTGTACATTTTACTCTCTGTTTCTTAAAAAAATAAAAAAAATTGAAAAATGGAATGATATTTTTTAAAAAATCGAAACTGATTTGAATTGTATTCTTACCATGACTCATGTAATGTAAACTTGTGGTGTCACAAAGGTGTACTTTTAAGATTGGCTAACATTATGTTTTCTCATTGACAGCCGTATGCACTTCTCATCTGAAGACAACTCCAACCAGTCGGCTGCCTTCACCACAGTGGGTGGCATCCAGAGCAAAGTCCCCTACGAGAAGCTCCCCAATGCCCCCAGCGTTGGGAAACCTGGTGCTGGAGAAAAGGTCGTTCGCAAACATCTTCACATCAAGGCTGTGCTCCAAGGCATAGTGATTGGGGCCTCCATCCTACCATCCCTGAAGGCACAGTATAAAACGGATGCCATCACCATGTCTGGAGTGCTAGGCAGAAAGGCACACTTTACAGTTGTATTACCCACCCACCTGCTGAGTTTTAAATCCAAGGTAACACATTTTTTTACCTGCCCACCTGAGTTTTAAATCCAAGGTAACACATTGTTTTACCTGCCCACCTGCTGAGTTTTAAATCCAAGGTAACACATTGTTTTACCTGCCCACCTGCTGAGTTTTAAATCCAAGGTAACACATTGTTTTACCTGCCCACCTGAGTTTTAAATCCAAGGTAACACATTGTTTTACCTGCCCACCTGCTGAGTTTTAAATCCAAGGTAACACATTGTTTTACCTGCCCACCTGCTGAGTTTTAAAGCCAAGGCAACTCATTAACACTTGGTGGATTTAGCATTCATATGCTCCTGTTAAAATAAAGGGACCCAATGAGAGCAAGGATTATGTCCATTTAATTATCTGCTTATTTGTAATGCATTACTTGGAACCTGCCCGCCGCAGGCATTTGACTGTGTGACCAGAAGATAACGTGTTCTTATTTTGTTGAGAAAAGTGTGATTGATATCAAGTGTGTTATTGATGATTGTAACCATTTGCCAACTTTTCAGATAACGGCCGCTGCTGCCCTGGCTGACACTCCCATACCATCGGCTGCCAGCATTGAACTGCCTCCCATACAGGTGATAGCAGACTATCGTGTGCAGAAGCCTGACACGCTCGCCAGTGACCACCAGGAGGTTGAGTTGGGTGAGGACCTGGAGCTGCTGGAAGGCAACTATCTGTACGCTGTAGCTGAAGTTGGGATGCTGGAGCACAGTCTTACAACTGACCTTCTCAACCATTTGGTCTTTGTGCAGAAAGTTTTCATGAAAGTAAGCTAAGTGTATGAGTTTTACTTAGATCTGATTACATCCTAGAATTGTTCTAGTACAGTGCAATATGTCATTGGTATCTTTAAAGCAATAAACAATTTTTTGGTTGAAAACTGTTTAAAATTATAATATTAAAATAAATTGAAATCAACATTAATGAGCCCTAAAGGTATGCTAAGATGCCTTCCATTCTATAATATCTACATTAGTGAGCCATAAAGGACGCTCAAGATGCCTTCCATTGTATAACATCTACATTAGTGAGCCATAAAGGTACGCTAAAGATGCCTTCCATTCTATAGCATCTACATCAGTGAGCCTTAAAGGTACACTAAAGATGCCTTCCATTCTATAACATATAGATTAGTGAGCCATAAAGGTACGCTCAAGATGCCTTCCATTCTATAACATCTAGATTAGTGAGCCATAAAGGTACGCTCAAGATGCCTTCCATTCTATAACATCTAGATTAGTGAGCCATAAAGGTACGCTAAAGATGCCTTCCATTCTGTAACATCTAGATTAGTGAGCCATACAGGCATGCTGTAGCTGCCTTCCATTGTGTCTTACAGGAAATCAATGAGATTGTACAGAAGGTGTCAGGTTCCAGCGGCATCAATGTCGAGGAGATCAAGTCCACCATTAAAGTTGATGAAGTGCCCGAGAGAAAGCCACTTCTCTACTCTGTCTCTGTCAGGTTCAAGGTAAAGTGATGTGGAAGTCAGTGAGATACAGTGGCACTTAACCATTATAAATATAACTTACCGCACTCAGGTATCATAAAAACATTGAGTACAATATAGTGTCACCATCATTCAGGGCCAGTTGCTATTTAGGCGTGCAGTCAAAAGTTTATCAAATTAGCATGAAACGGCCGTCAACGTTTATTTGTTTTTCCTCCACCAAGGGAATCCAAGTGACTGCCACCACACCAACCTCCAACGCTGTCAGATTTGAAACAGGGGCCATAACTTTAGACTTGTCCAACAGATTTCACCTGCCTAAGAAAGATGTCACCAACAGAACTGAATCAACCGTTGAACAAGGTTAGTCTGGTCCCTCAGAGAGGAACTGACACTCTTTAAAACCACGCCCCCCCCCCCCCCCCCCCCNATATGGCGGGTGAAAAAAAGGACCCCTAATATATATATAAAAATAATATTAAAAGGCGAAAATAAAGATTTACTATTTTGGAATGTTAAATTTCTATTTGGCAAGAAAGAAAAATCGTTTATTTTACTGGTTCTTGAAGAAATCTGGTAGCAACTTGTCCATTCATAAATTTTACTTTTCGCCATTTACTCATATTTCGCCACAATTCCGGTTCACTGTTACTACACTCTAAAACATTGCTATGGAATCTGATTCTGTTATAAGCTTGAAATGGACAACTATTCTTACTTAGAGGAATATTTTTGATGAAGATAGCACTTCAGATGTGTCTGATACCGATAATTGTGTAAATTATCATCATAATAATACCATCCAAGGTTTGTTTACTTTTTTCATTCATACTCAACTCACCATACTGTGATACTTCTTAGCACTATTATTAGCCCTAACATTAGTTTTATTCAAGTTCCAGTAGTATAAAATTCTTAAATAGATTAAATTGTTTATTTGTTTGAAACTAATTTGTAGTTATACAATCATTTTAATATTATTACGTTTCAGTTAGCAAAATGTAAACAATGGTTCTCAAGGCCAAGGCTATTATTACACTGTAACAATCAGCTGTGTTCCCTTTTCAATGAAAACTTGAAGTAAAAGTAATTTAGGCAGATTGTTTATTATTTTGAATTCTTTTTATTTATATTGTAATTTTTTTTATTTTAGCTAAACTAATTTTTTTTTAAATATATTTTGACAGCATCTATGAAGGGCAGATGTCAAACATAGTCAATACAATGGGTTATGATGACAAAAGACTGTGGGACTCTTTGCTGCATTTAGACCAGAGGTGAAAAGCACTATTGCTTCCTGAT